CATGAAAAAATTATTATGTCCATAGATTTCATTAGGTGCCGATCATATACTTTCATAAGAAAAAAGAACACGTTGCAATAAAACCCAAAATTAATGTCTAGCTCTGGTCCTAGATAATAAGAAGATAAACGTTGAAGAATCCACTGATAGGAAGGTCTTTACCACAGATTTCAAAATAAAACAACTCTGATAACTATTTTCTCATTCCTTGAACAAGCAAGAAAATTACATAAACAAATTGGGCCTTGAAGCCTCGAAGCCTTGGTTCAAGTAGTTTCATAGTTGAGTTCGAACATTTTTAAGACATGATTTTGATTATTATGTTAAAAACAATTTTATAATGAAAAATACTTGCTCCTTAACAGCAAGTAGAAACATTGTCCTCCTCACCATTAAATGTTTGAGAAATGCAAAAGTGGAGACCTTTTTCTTTAAATAATAATGAGTTGTCAAATATTTAATAGTTAGGAGGACAAAGTTTCTTCTCATTGTTGAAAAACCAAGTATTTTCCTTTATAATTTAGTTTTCGGAAGATATTAATTTTACCACTCATTCAAGGTTTAATTTTATGACATTGAAAATATGCACGAGCATAAAAATAAAAATTTCTCAAAAAGAGAAAAACGAAATCAAGTTGGCATCTTTCAGCATTTATGCACAAGAACCAGTCATTAAGCACTCACAGAGTTGATAATTTATTCATTACTCCGATATACTCGGGGATTGAACCATTGATTAAACAGTTCCTCAGGACCCTGCTAGGAAAAAAAGTTTATTAAAATGTAAAGATAAAAAAAAAAGTGAGCTTTGTTAGATAGACAACAAATTGAGTTACATTCAACTTACAGTTCTTCCATATTTATCATGTCTGTCAAATTGGGGAAACTTATAAATGATCCCTTCAAATCAGATATCCTCCTGTTAAACAAGTTGCACCCAGGTGAAAAACATTCCAACAACTGAACTGTAGTCTATGCAGTTATTGGAAATCTTAGAGATTCTCACAGCTGAGTTAGGTTTTTCAATTGAGATATTGTAGAAGGAATAGGATTTTCCATCAATGTTCCTTGAATATCCCTGGAAAAAAAATTGAGAAATCCCATGAAAACAAGTAATCTTGGGTATCTAATGGGAAAATATTGCAAAGTACATATGAAACTCACAGTCTCTTAAGGTTGATCCAATTCCCAATGAATTCAGGAATCTTCCCAGACAGTCCGCTCCCATCTATCCTTCTGCAGACATTAATTAGAAAACAGAAATAATGGAGTATTATGAAATAATCAAAAGTCTAAATTTTTTTCACTTGGGTTACTTACAAATCAACCAAGTTCTTCAATTTTCCGAATGAGTCTGGTATTTTTCCTGTGAAATTGTTTGCAGAAAGAAGCCTACAGGGGTAAGAACACAGCTGATTACATTGCCCCAAGATGTTTTCCACCATACAGAAGAGGTAAAGGACAAGTGTCTCACAGTCTAAGCAAGCGGTTCAGATTTCCAAGGCTGGGAGGTAGACTTCCAGTAAGCTGGTTGTCTTCCAAGACCCTGCACAACTCAATTGTCATCAACTTCCTAAAATCTTGGTTCAATTACACAAACTTTGTTTTTTCATCACTTACAGCTCTTCAAGGGTGCCAATGTCACCAATTTCCTTGGGAATTGAACCGCTTAGCCTGTTTCCTAAGAGAGAACTGCATAGTAAAAACAAACACATATCAAACTTGCTTATCAATTCGTTGATGATTAGGAACCATAAAGAATGCCAAAGAAATCCAGCCCAATATATGACTTACAGTTTGACGAGAGGAGCACTGGCAAGACTTGTGGGTAGCTGGCCATTAATATAGTTGCGACTAAGATCACTGTTCTATCAGAGTAACTTCACTTAGAATTTTAAGTTTTAACAGGCATTCACCCATTTAAAGGAGATTAGAATGTTTGTATCTAATACAATAAAGAATGACAGTTTCCAGCACTTACAGTTCCTGAAGATGAGTGAGATTACCAAATTCAGCTGGAAAAGTTCCTGCTAGATCGAGCCCCTTAAGTATGCTGTGAAAACAGCAAATAAGGTGTCAATATAAAGATCATATAGAGGAAACGAGAAAAAGGAAAGAATTTAATGACTCAAAACTTTCATTGCCTCGAAGCCGGCCTGGAAGGGCGGAGAGAATCCATCGGTCTAAAAGAGTTTCACCATAAGTGGAATATTATAAAAGCTTAATGTGTCAATTTAGTTTCACATGGAAACTAAATTGAGAAGTACTAGTATTATTTTCATTAAAAAACAAAAATAAAAGAAAAGGACTATAAAGAAGAAGAGAGAGTTCAATATATAAGATCAGAATGTAGAACAGTAAAAACTAGGCGAAATAGGCAAAATGCTGATCACTACTAAAGCTCCTTACAACAAATAGAGGGAATTGGAAGATAAGTAAATGTCTTTCTATATTTTGAACTGATTCCAAATTTTAACAATTTCCAGAGTAATGATTTTTCAATAATTATTATTAGTTAAAATTTTAAAATAACATTAGTAGTAATTCTCTACTGTCAGATCGACCTACATCGACAATAATAGCGATGAAAAAAACCATGGTACCTGAAATTGATACCAATTAAAGATTAACTATTGTTCATAGTTGATTTTCTATACGCATATGGATCAATCTCTAAGGTCAATCATTACGTGATTTTTTATTTGCAGTAATAATACCTATAATTCAAGACCAATACAGTACGTAATATATATTATACACACAATGACAATTACTCTAAACTAGATAATTAATTATAAACAATGATGAATAAATATTAGACAGTTGGTTAGTCAATGACTGTGAGCAAAGGTTAAACAATTAGCTTGCAACATGAAGAGTCATTTATGATTGAAAATTAATGAAAATTTGTCTTTATCACGCCTGAATGACCGACTATTTACTTATGCCTTCTCTGCATATAATTAATGTTAAAAAATCTAAACTTTATGCTAGGAAATTCAAATCTCTTAAATAGTATTAAGATTTCTTGAGCAGACAGAGAAAAAGAAAAAACTAGCACTCGGAGCAAAAAATATGTTACTTTCAAAATGCAATAGAATTACCAAACAATGAGTAAGGGAAGAAAATATGAAGCGCATCAATGGGGAAAGGAAATACGTGTCTTACATGATTGTCACATGGCAAACAGTGGAAGTACAATTGCATGAGACATTCCTCAAGATTTGGTTTCCCGGCGGTCCATTGGAAAAGCCTTCGCCTTGAATGCAAGAACTCCGAGTAACATTCCAGTTTATGTTCTTTAGTTTTGAAGATATTGTTTGAAGGACTTTCACTGTTCAACCCAAACCGATTGGTAAAATACATCAGTACCAGATCCAGGAATTACCCAAGCTATTTAGAAGTGTTTACCAGATAAAAAAAAAAAAAAAAAAGAAGTTTTCAACCCATATAATCGTAAGATCTGAAATATTTGGAAAAAAAATATTATGGGTCGTTTGAATAGTAAAATATATTCTATGTTTTGTACTTGTTGGGAATCGTAATAGGTGACAAATGATTTTGCCAAAGAAATAAAATTTTGCAAATATAGTAATTGTCTAGTATTAGTCTATCAACGATAGACTTCTTTCACTAATGGACATGCGGGAAAAACTCCCCTATCATAAATATGGTTCTTCCCATATAGACTAACAAACAAGTCAAGAAAGGTTCTATAATTATAAAATATATATATATATATATAGTACAGATGATTGGGGTTATGATTGAGATCCTCTGTAATTTGAAGTCCATGAAATTGGAAGGAGGGCATTTCAGTGAACTGAAAATGATTGAGTTCTGTTTAACTGAGTTCTAATATTCCAAATCCCAAAATATAGCCCTTATTTTCTATTTCAAATTTTGGTACATTAGAAAAAAGGCTGAAATTATCAGAATTAAATCCTAACAGTGGAGTGAACGAATTCAATGCTCTATTAGATATGAACTTAAGTAATCATACAAATCTCTGGGTCAAAGCCCACAGATCAAATCATAATAGTCAAAGCAAATCAATTCAATATTTTTTCCCTTGCAATATACCCAATCTTTGCAAAAAAACAGAGCAAGTCAACTCAATAAATATACAGTAATGTAAATTTGAAGATATGGTTGTTCAGACAAGTTGGTCAAAAGAATAGGAGAGTCTATAAACACTGCAAAAGTTAGCCGTGTTCAAATTCCAGAGGAGTTACTACCACTCAACCAAAACCCACCGGCTAGTAGAAGTCATGCCCCATTTTCACCTAGCTGGGAGCTTATTAATTAATGCTCATTTAAGAACAGCTGTTTTTTTTTTATATTACAAAACAACTGTCTGGCCATGACATTTCCAGAACCTGTAAAGAGAATATATACGGAGAGTGGTACAAGTGCCTTGACGATCAAATCTCAACAGTCTTTTAAATAAAAGTAAAAAGGAAAAAGAGAGAGAAAAATATTTTCCAGGGAACTATCTTTTCCTGCCTTACAATATTTTAATTCATCCATAGAAATGAAAATTAATATTTAGATTATACATGTTTGAAAAAATAATAATAACTTTTGTTTCTGTTTTTTTATTTATAAATATCCTTCATATGGAGGGGAGAAAAAGTCAGATCTCACGTGAAACGTTTTTGGAGTTTGGGATCGGCGAGAGGGTCGTGGGCCCCAACCGTGGGGCCCACGTTTGGCATTAAATGTGGGGCCACTGTCACACTACTCTGACATGACGGTTTCCATTTTATTAAAAACGGTCAACATAATATATATATTTTTCTTCCCAAAAAAATGTTCTTAGTTAAAAGAAATTATGCGCCGAGACTTAAATCTTTCATCTTTTTGGTCGAATACATCTGTTAAATATGTCATCTTCGACTTTGTTGATGTTAAATTGGTTCACGTCTCATGCTAAATGTTATCCTTCAACATGGATTGAAGTTAAATATTACCTGACTTAGTTTAGATTTTATAGTGACTGAAGCAAACGTCACCAACTTCGTTTGGACCAATTAACTTAGTCCGACAAGACCTAAACTACTTTTCCAACCAAAAAGAGCACATCGACCTACTCCTAAAATCAAGCTAAGACCAGACAAACAAGAGAATAACTCAAGCCCCCCCCCCCCTCCCCCCGCGTCTATAAAAGGAACGTCACTTCAACTCAAATACGCTATTATGTCTCAATATGATCTATTGAGCTCGAACTCTTACTTGAACATTAAAGTGTTTGTTTCTTTTATACGAGTCTCTCCTCGTGCAGTTCACACCTCTATAGCTCGACCAAGTTCGACGCAAGTCGATCTTTACGGCTTGACATAATTCAGCATCAACAAATTTGTTTAGCTACTTTGATCCAATTTGAATATAATATGAATATCATTCTCTATGGCGTTAGATGTTCAAATTTAGTTCCTAGCTTTAGTTTAATCTTAAAATTTCTAAGAGTTTCAAATTTGACTCTTATAATTTTGAGTTTTTTTTTCCATTTCATCCCTATAAAACTATACCCAAAGATTAAGTTTGCAATTTAAAGTAATATATTTACTATTTTAAATAATTAATCTGTTGCGAATTCATTTTAATTCTCTTTTTTAATTTCTTTTATAAGTTAAATATACTATCAGTTACAATTATAACTTTTCCAATTAATTTTCATTATTTATTATAACTGATCTATGAAAAGAGGCAAAAGCAATCAACAAAGTCATTCCATCTTGTTAGTCAATTTAATTTTCTAAAGTATGAAATATAAGAATAGTTAATAGATTCAATTCGGATAGGTTTTGTCATTTCTATTAATTTAATTTTGATTCATTATATACATACCCACATAAAAAATCATTTCGAGATTCATTTCTATTTTTCTTAAACTTATGGGTAATTTGATATGTTAACTAGTCAAGACATCTATTTTTAGTTAAAAAGTTCGTGTATTCGAATTATGTTGTATTAAGAAAACAAAATGAATATGAAAAAAACAAATAAATTTGTCTAGAAAAATATAGATGCAAGTAAAAAAGTGAATTATTTTCTTAAATTAAGGGATAACAATTAATATTGATATGCCTGCTTTATCTTTCTTTTTTTGTAGTATAACATTGAAATTCTAACAAACTTCAATATTATATTAGATATTTTATATTGTTCGTTCTAAAAGGAATAATTTGACTTTTTTATTTATCTGAAATTTAAAAAATCATTTATAATTAAATACCATCAGAAAAAGCGAGAACTCCAAAACCACCTGACCTAACTGATACAGGATTAGGAAGAAAGAGGCAAATAATGAAGAGGAAAAAAAAAAGAAATCTGAAGGAAAAAGAAACAAAAAACAATGCTGCTGATTGGTTGCCGAGAAAATGTGGGAAAATGGCACAGCGCGTGAGATCACGGTGGAAATTCCTAAAGAAAAACTAACTTCTGCAGTTAAGCAAGTTTCTGGTAGCGCCCAAAAGAAAATCTGGAGGAAAAGGAAAAGAAGAAAGGAATTTACGATACTCTCAGTAATCGATGTATGAAATTTTCGCTCTCGGATTCCGGGAAAGTAAAATCGTGAAGAAAAGGGAAAGCAAGCGGAATTCCTTCTCACTCTGTTGCTCGAAAATCGCACAGAACGAGAAGAATTTGACTACTATTTTCACTATCCTAGAGTTTCTCGGCAACCAAACACAGCGATTTCAACTACAGAGACGAAAAATCCCTAGTTCGGAGTCTCCAGTCTCTCCAAAACACAAAAATACATCAAAACCCAAAAAAAACCAGTCATAAAAAGCAAATTCCACGAAGAATCAGAAGCAGAAACCAAGACAGAGAAGCGAGAAACGGCAGAAAATCGAAACAATCGTACCTTCAGTTTCGGGCAAAAGCTGAGCGTCGGATCCAAATCCAAATCCATCGAACACCAAAATCCCCAAAACCAGAACGCCGAGAATCCTGAATTGAGAACTCCGAAAATCCATAGCCGCGTGGTGGAGGAAGAGTCGCCAGTGGCAAAAGAAGAAGAATAAAACAAAAGAAGAGTGAGGGGTTTTCTTCGAAGCGACGGCGAAAGGCGAACAAACGAAGCAATCGGAAGTGAATGAAGGAGTGGATCGGAAGAAATGAGAGAGAGAGAACAAATGGGTTTGAAATTCAACTCTGAAAAGGAAAGAAACTGTTTCTGGAAACTTAAATCAGAAAAGAACTGTAGATTTCTCCATTAACGAGTGAGTTGAAGAAGAAGAAGAAGAAGAGGATTTTGTTAAAGGCGTGAGGGGCAGAACTGTAAAATGGCACATGATATGATGGTATAGTTATGGTATGGCAGATGAGATCTTGCATGGCCACATTGTTTATAAAGAAATATGTCTTTTGAGTTTTGTATATATTAGACCAACGCTTACTCTCACTCGTTAATCTACTGCTTCTCCCCTTTTAAATTAATATTTGGATTTCAATTTGTTCTGTTTTTTAGTACAATATGGGGTGACGGGGAATCGAACTCATAACCTCCTGATTGAAGATATATATGTCAAACATCTATACTGGTTTTGACATTCAATTTGATCCTTATACCTTAAAAAGTGATTGTTTTGTTACATTTTTGTGACACTACATTCAATATATATCTATTGATTTGCAGTCTTTAACTTTATATTAAAGAGTTTCGATTGTGTGTTAGAATTTGTGTTAATATTTTGTAAACATGGACTAAAATGAACACTTTTAAAAGTACAATGACCAAAAAGAGCGTTTTGAAAGTATATTAACCAAAATATACTTGAGAGGTGGAGACCAAGGAAATAATATTTTAATTAACTAAAAATTGAAATGGATCAAAATAGCATTTTAACCTTTTTCTTTTCTTTTACATTAATATATAATATGTTTAAATTATATAAGCTAACAAGTTGGTGCGCCATTCATTATATGAAATCAATAACTAAGGATAAGACACCATTCCAACGCAACTAAGGGAATAAATGCAGTCGAAAGTTTAATCTTCCACCGTGCAGTGTTGCGCTAAAATAAATTCAATAATTGTAGCATAAACTAATTTTCCGTTGCTAACTGGAATAAAAATTTTGTAGCTATTTATTTATTTTTAAAACATAAAAATACCTCTTTTCTACTCGTCCAAAATTTATCCCTCTCTCAATAATTAATATTTTTCATTCAAACATAATTTATTGAATAATATACAAATTATCTTTATTGATGTCAAATGCTTAATTAATCTTGCGTTCCTACGTTTTTTTTAAGTGTTATATTTGTAATTAATTTTTTGAAAAACGAAATACTTACAAATATCTTAATACATTCAAGTTTCACTTTTAAATTTTATTTTTATCGGAACATATATAAACGTTACATTATAGTCTCTAAGTTTGGGATTTTCATTTTTTTTTCAGTTGATGTTGAAACCCCACCAAAGTTATAGAACAGTCTTCTTTGCAGTTTTGTTTAAGAAAAAACTACAAATCCATTTTGGAACTACTTGACACTTTTTACCTAATAAACATCCTCTCTTGAGATGAATGAACAAACACAAAATTATTAAGTTGTCATATTTTTATTTAATAATTTACAAAAGAAAAAAAAAGTATGGACAGAGAAACTAAAATAGTTTTTATTGATGTAAAATTTATTAACTAAAGTATAATGCTTAAAAATTTATGGAGCAAAAATTAATAAATATCCCTTCAGAATAAGATTTAAATGTACTAATCATACTATTTATGTCAGTTTTCAATTTTACTCATAATCTTTAAAAAAATCTAAAGTTCATCGAGTTAAAACGAAGGTAATGTACAAATTTAAAAGATAATTTTTTTTTTTATAAGACTGAAAATTTTAAAAGCATTTTTAATAGTTACATTTTCTAGATCAACATATGATTTCTTTCAAGTTAAGTATATTGAAAATGTTAATTAAGTACTTTTTATATAATTTTAAAAGTGGGTGGAAAGATTCTAATTAGATATACTTGAGAACTTTTAGTATAGAATTTTGCTTTCTCATTCCCATTGCATTCTCAAAAGGTAGTGTCTTATCATTTCAAATTTTCTAAACCTAACATATACCTTTCCAAATGCATAATTTAAAGGGTGGGGAGGGATTGAATTTAGACATTTTTTACTCAAAAAAAAAAAAANTTAACAAAATTTAAATTTATTTAATGAGTTTCATAAATTTAAATAATAATTATATAGACTATAATAATATTATTTCAATTAACATGGCAACTATATAAATAAATATCTATAATAAATTTAGTTGGTTTAAAACTAATGTTGCGAGTAAATCATATTATGTTTGACAAAGATATAAAAGAACAACACAAAAATTCAATAATGAATTATTATGCATAAAAAGAAACTAGAAGAAAAAAGTTCGACAATTTATTGAGTAAAAAATGGTCATTTTTAAGATCGTAGTTCCATTAAGTATAAATTTTTTTTTTTTAAGAAATATGTAGTCCAAAGCAAGGTTTTAAGAAATATCAAGGCCTCAATTTCATGCAAATATCGATGTCGATAGATATTTCTGTAAAAGTTAGAAAAATTAAAAAATCGTAAAAAATATTTAAATTAGCAAAATAAACATTTTTCTATTTCTAAATTAATTTAAAATAATTAATAGTAATATTTTATATATACTAGTGACATTTTGTTGATATTTTCATATTTAGTTGATTTTCTTGTACTATGAAGGAAATGTCGATTTACTCCTCAGAGAAACGTACAGATATTTATAACAATGAGTCCAAGACATGAATTTGAAAAACTTGAATTTATATAGTTTGATATTATCCGACTTGTGTGTATGACTTTACACCCTTTGGTTTTTTCTACATTACAAATAAAGGGATAAAAATTTGAACTTACRACTTATCACTTAAATTATGCTCGGTTCGAGGTTTGACTTTATAATATCTTCATAAACTATGTATTCAAACTTAGATTGAGGTGAATTTGCTTTAAATGGTTATGCATTAATTGGCCACTTTAAAATTTTGTTGGGAGAGAGACTGGAAAGTGAAAGGTGATCATCGACAAAAATATCTTTGACCAATGTAATATATTAATTTGGGAGGCGAGAATGCCGAGGAGAAATCAAATATAAACTTTGATTCGTTCTACAAATTATTAGTTCACAAAATTTCCTTATATTAGTTCGTTTATTACTTATAATGTTGTGATTTTGTTCTTACAAAATTAAGTAAATTTTTGCAAATAATATTTGTTAAAGAATAATTCTTTGAACAATTTAAATTTTTCTTAAAAAACACATTTGAGATTTGACAACACCACAAATAATGTTTTTCTCGAAATTAAACACAACATTACTAAAAAAACCAACAAAGACATCAGTCATTGGTCGAATCCCTATTCTAAATTAATCTCAATTAGTCCCTATAATTCAAACAAGAAGCCACAAACTTTTTAAAATAAAAATTAATGTTATGGGTGAAATAAAGCTCGATTCACGAACGAACTATAGAAAATTCTAGTAAGTCAGCCTAGATCAAGCAAAGTCCCTGGACTTCGAAACGATCCAAAAATATGTGTCCTTGGATATAAACCCTATGAGTCGTATAAATGAGCCACTTGCCATGTATCAATTCTGTGGATGTAGACCAATGGACCGAGCCTAATGGGTTGACCAACCCTTGGGGCAAAACCCAAAGGGTCCAGTACATGAGGCCTCGCCTCTGTATGTGAGACGAACCCCTAAGCTATCTAGTTCCCTTGATTCTTTTGTAAACCAATCAAACCATCCAACTCTAGTCGTTCGAATTTGGGAAATTCCAAAAAACAAAAAGAAAAGACATCTAAAATATTTTAGATTTTTCCTTAATTCATAAATAGAGGCAAAGTCTGATCGAGGTATAAAACTAAAAATTAGTTCTTGCTAAACTTGACACAAATCCTATTGTAATTTAAACATCATAGTATATGTGGCTACCACCATACCGATGTGTAGTCTCTCTATTTTTCATGTTCAATCGAATATTTTTTTTGAAAAAAAAGTTGTATAGATTTAATAATTCTATTAGGCCAAATTTAATCTAACTATTAATAAATAATAAATAAACTCAACTATTAAAACGTACTCATTTTATCACTTTTGAAGTTTGAAGTTTGATTGGATGATAAAAGTTAAAACTTGAGGTTCCCTGTCCAATTACTAAATACAAAAATAAAATAATAAAAGGAAAAAATTGTTTAATTTTACTTTTTACCAATTACATTTGTATGGTTCGAGCTTAGTACGATTTAGTACTTTTTTATTGATAATAGTTTATTGTCCTTTCATTATTTGATTGATACTTAGTAAAATATATATATATATATAATAATAATAATAATAATAATAATAATAATAATAATAATAATAATAATAATAGAGTTTATCAAATATCCATGTAAAGTTAATTATAAAAGGTCTACATTGAATATTTTAATTTTTTTTAATCCAACAACATCGATGATATGGAATTCAAACCTGTTACATTTTATTTAAATATATATACTTTAACCAGTTGAATATATTTAGATTATCGAACATTTTATATTTAATTATATTTGAATCCAACAAACATCAATCCATTATATTTAGTATCTTTCTACATTTGAATCCAACAAACATCAATCCATTATATTTAATATCTTTCTACAATTAAGTTAAAACAATAACTTTATAGCTTAATCAAAATATTTTTTTCACATCCTTAACTGTAATCTTTCATCTTGTATTCGTAGAGTAAATATTCTAAAGAATAATAATTTGAAAGTTTTACTGCATTGTATTATTATTTTTTTTAGTACAATAAGTAGAGGTGGATGATTCGAATTCGTGACCTCTAAATCAGAGACATGAACCAATTACCGTTGAGCTGACTGTTCACTCATAAATAGAAACATCTGATAAATTTTAATAAAACGACATGAAGGGTTATAAAATTAAAAATATGTATATAAGGATTAAATTAAATTAAGGTTAAAATATGAGGAGTTACTTTAAATGTGAAAATTGAAAATTCCCACCGACAGACAAATAATATGAATGCAATGTGGGCGATGATTGTCTGTAAGTTACTCAACGACAGCTTAATGGTACGATGATTCACATTCAAATAAACTTTCTAATTGAAGTAAAAAGAAATAATAATAACAATAATAAACTTTATAGATTTAATAATTTATTTATTATTATTTTAATTAATTAATGTACTGCACCATCACGCGTTTTTTTAGGGACTAGGTTGGTTTAGTAAAATTTCTAAGAATATCAAAAAAATAAAAATATTTACAAAGTTAGTCTAAATTCTACGTGCTCTTTCTTTTCTTTTCTTTTTTACTTTGGAAGGAGAAAACGGTCTCTTTCCTCGCCTCGATGGTAGAGGTCAAATTCATAAGCCGACAATTTTTCTAGATAGGTTGAACTATTGGAAGCAGTTCCCATTGGGTTTACCTTGTTTACAAGTCGACTCTATGACAACAAGAAAGGGCGATCTCTTTCTTACCTTCGTGCACGGCTATCATGTTGTTGGGTCTGAACTGCCTGCGGTTACACGCACTCAGAGCCAGAACACAGACACCTCGAGATGTATGGGGAATTCGCTGCTGATAGATCCTAGACAATTAGACATCCAACCCGTAATCGCAACGATTCAATTGCAAGTGCGAAGCTCTGCCACTGGTGAGGGCGGGCTGTTTGGGGACAGAATCAGAGATTGGATGGACATCCAAAACGGATCGGAAAAAAGAGGACCAATCATACTCAAAATAAAAATTTGGTCCTGTCTCAGAATCAGGAAAAGCAAAACGAAATTAGAATTTGACTCCTTAACTCCTCATACTGCCGCCACCATTTCTAAGATTATTTAAAGGACAATAAGACGTAAAATATTGTTTTAGTAATAGCAGCGACTGCAAAATGTAAAATTCATAATTTATTAAAAAAAATCATTGATAGCAAAATTGTTGGAAGATATAAAATGTACGTGCTAAAAATGATAAGATTTAAATTTGTTTAATTACAATAAATCTGTAAATTTCATATTTAAAAAATTGTAAAATGAGATTTCTTATGTACTTGAAATATAGTAGTACGTATGTGGATAAAAATGTAAAAAAAAAAAAAAAAAAGCTCCAAATGAGTTGGATATTATTTGTTAACTTGAGTACAAGAGTCACTTTTCCTCCAATATTTATAATATTATTTTAAAAAAAACTTAGACATGAATTTATAGAATATGAGTCCTCTTTAACTCATTAATTTTCATTTTATATTTTAAAAATATTTTTTTGTGGAGTCTTCTCGAGACAATGGGAAAAAAATGCCAAGGAACCTTATAATAAGTTTGATTGGATATATGTTAGCAAAAAGTTTGATATTATTTTTGAATTAGGGGAAAATGTTTCACCAAATTAGTTACTTTTAAATTTATTGTAATGTTTGACTATGGTTCTTCTTGTCCGAACCACCATAATAAATTCTAACACCAAAATTTAATTACATTATACACATTTTAATAATCCGTTAGTTTTTACTAAACCTTACACAACTTTTATATAATGCTAATGTGACTGACAATAAATGAGCGTAGTATTCTATCTATATTATTGAAATTTTTTTCTTCTATAATAATGAAAATCTATATCGTCAATAAATAACGAGAAATTGACAATACCAATATAGATCAATTGATCAAATAGTTACCTCTTTTATAAGTCAAAGGTTCATATTCTCAAAAAAAAAGTAAATAATAATAATAATAATAAATAAAATCTACCAGGAAAAGTAAAATGTTTGTGTTAAAATAGTTAATATTGAAAATAATCAAACATTTGAAAACAATTAAATTAAAAGGCATTTTCCAGCCCAGGCCCAAACGCGATATAGCCATATAGGTGCGGTTGGCCAATGGTGTTTAAAAGTTGTCTTTTTGGTCAACCAAAATTAATGGCTAATTGATTTTGAACTTATATTTTAGTATTTTTTGTTACTTGATTTTGAGTGTTTATTTATTAAACTTTATGGAATTGATCTAAAAACAAATTTTTTTTTAATAGAGAATTATCATTATTTTAAAGGTTAGAATTAAAAGATATAATTTCAAATTAATCATGATTGCATATGTTGAAACAAATAACGTGTGTGATGTTTACTTTTAAAATAAGAATTATTTCACAATATATATTATTATGCTCTTGCTCACCAAACATCGTTATCTAATAACATTTGAATAATTTATATTAAGTTTGTTACGGGAAGAAAATAGAGATCAGACTAAACAATTGAAAAGAGGAAAGAGAGCTGAAGATGAAGCGGGCCCAAAGAGAGGTAAGTGGGTCGAGGCCCAACGACCCGGGTCGGCTCGACGAGGGGTTCTCGACACAGTGGTTGAGAACCTATCCTATGAACCTCGACCCCTGTGCAGGTCCAGTCCGAATCGACTTGGTCTCGACCCTAAATCATACAACATGAGGCCCACTTCGTTTAAGATTTCTAAGTGCATAATGATTCGAGTAATGTAAATCTTAAAGGGATTAGAGTTCAACTGATGTAAATATGAGGGTAAGCCAAACCATAAAGGTATGCTCACAATACCCTGCTCAACTACTCACACTAAAGCATCAGAGCCTGTGGCAATTTGTAGTTCTTCCATTTTGCAGACATTTCTTCTTAAATTATAAATTTAGGCTTAGAAATTTTAAATTTGTGCAGAATAGATTCTTGAATGTTGAAAGATGTTAATATAACTCTAAATTTCAATTTTGTCGAACTTATTTTAGGTTTATTAGGTGGCGACCTAGTATAATTGGAAAAAAAATAGGAAAATTAACAAGTCAATGTTTTTTCCTAATATGTTTTCACTTTACATGGAAATTTTTAAAATTCACAGAAGTATTAAGTATTTTTAAAGTTTATGGTCGTAGGAAACATAAAATTTAAAAATTTAAGAATAATGTATTAGAATTTATGATGATATATTGAAATATTTGAATAGAGGTTTGTTTTACCTGAATTGTACTTGAAATATTAGAACATAAATGAGTGGTAGTTGGCATATATCTCAAATCAATATATATATATATATATATATATTTTATTCCAAAAATATCCTAATTGTATTAATGTATTTTAGATATTGACTTTTATCTATTTATTGATTTGTTATCAATTTAATTTAGGTTAAATTTAAATTATAACACATTAATTTGATATTTTTAAAAAATATTTGTATTAATTATTAAATCCAATCTTAACTTGAACGTCTTTCTCAAAATAAAATTATATGAATAGTGAAATTTTATTCCGATTATGTTTTTAAATTATCAAATCTGATTTTTTTAAGGAAATAATACTGGTATCAAATCTGGTTTTTATTCTTTTTATTTTTTGAAAGAAATAATATTGGTGTCTTTGAAATTTTCTTTTATGTGTATGTTTAATATCAATTTTAAGAGATTCTACCAACCAAATAAATGGACAGATTATATAATTTAATTGAATATATTAATATATATTAAGAAACCATTCTAACAAATAATCACTTTTGAAGTAAAAAAAAATATATACAAATAATCACTTTTGAGTCTAATTTGTAATTCAACATTTAGAAGGAATGCACACCAAAATTCTACCTCAAAAAGATAATTGAAAAAAAAAAAATCCAAAAATCAGTGTAGAATTAAAGGAAATTTGAGATTGATGACCCTTCAATAATTCATTTTAGATTTATGATCCATTTTTTGAAAAAAAAACTATCAAGAAAAAACAAATTTCTTTTCAATATTTATTCATTCCACAAATCTATCGCAATAATTATTACCAACTTAAAAAATCTAACTTTTAAATTTGAAAAATCAATCACAAATAAAAAAAAACTAACTCAAATAGTTAATTAAAATTTTGATATAGAAAAACTCGATAGACAAATATGGTCTGAAATGTACGAAATCTTGACCTTTATTTGTAATTAAATCCAGAAAAATTTTATGTATTTATTATTCGATCATGCAGTCCTTTTTTTCACCCTAATTTATTTATGGGAAGATTTAATTTAGTTAGTGGATGATTTTTTTGTGTGGATTCGATTGTTAAGTAATTGATTCCTAAATTAAAATGTTAATTTTCTTTTTTCAATATTAGATTCGAATTTTAAAAAAAAAATTGTAAGGATTAAGACGAGAGGTTGGTGAATAATTTTACTTAAAAAAGAAAGGATAATTTTATAGTTTTATAAAGATAAAAAGTGAAAAAGGTCCATTAAAATAAAAGGGTTCAGTTTTTTCAAAAGGATCATAAATCCAAAATCACATCCCAATTTCCTTGGGAAAGAGTAGAAATAAAATCTCTTTCGTTTAATTAAAATTTAAAAGATTTATATGGAAAGCCTTATTCAGTAGAACAAAAAAAAAATATATAAAATAAAAAATGGAAAGAATGTTTAGGGGGAGGAATCTTCCGTTTACGACAACAACTGCCAACGGAGTTGCCAAATTACACTCAGTTGAAAATGACCAACTTATCCCTATTGAAATGACCAAACTACCCTTCTCTCTCTCTCCTCCACCGTCAGATCACTGTCACTGTCAGTGCCATTGGGCCATTTTATCCCTCTCTCTTTCTCTCCTCCGCCCAGATTCAGAGAGAGAGTTTCGGCAGAAAGTGTTTCTCTCTCTAGAACGAAAAAATGGTTTTCGGGAGCGAGATTCCGGTGCAACAAGGAATCCTCCTCCTCCTCCTTCTTCTTCTTATTCTTTCGGTAGTTTCCGGCGGTGCGGTGGCGGAGTGCAATTTCTTCGCCGGAAGTTGGGTGGTGGACGAGACGTATCCGCTGTACACGGCGGCGGGTTGCCCCTTCGTGGAGCACGAGTTCAGCTGCGTCAAAAATGGCCGTCCCGATTTAGGGTACACCAAGTACAGGTGGCAGCCGCTCCACTGTCAGTTATCCAGGTAACCCTGCACTCCCCGGTAACATTAGTTTATCTCTCTCTCTCTCTCTCTATTTTGGATCTAATTTTTCTTTTTCGACAAATTATCCAATTTTGGAAATAAACAAATACAACTTTCAGCCAAAAAGTATGCTTTTAACTTCGCCTAAATTTGTTGATTGATTGCCAAACGAGTATCCTTTCGGGTTTTGTATGGATTATGGATTAGATATTTAGATTAGCCTTCTAATTTATTTTTCCTTTCTAAAAAAAAATGTTACAAGAAAAAAGCTGTATGTGTAACTTTTTAAAAAAAATATTTTTGTTGCATGGTCTGCTCTATCGATGATTGTTTTTGTTTGGGTCAAATTACCTATCATGAATTTTTTTTGGGTTATTTTAGTCCATAGATGCAGCTATTTTTTGGGGTGCAGTCACGTATTTGTATTAAGAGTTTTCGTTGGGTATAAAACTTGTGTTAAAAWTTTTTGACTCAATTAGTTACTTTTTAAAAGTATATAGAAATTAAAATAAATATATTAAAAATATAGGATTAAAAACATTAAAAGTAGGATAATAAAGTAAAGGGTAACCAAAACCATTTTTAAATTGTTGTAATAGAACAAAAAGGTGATACTTGTTGCTTTGAAGTTTGAATTTTTGATGAAGTGACAAAATTTGGATGGATTTAAAAGTAGGAGTGAAAGTTGATATAGAAACAAAAAAAAAATTTCCTAAAAAAGATGGTTAAATCTAATCAATACCAGATTATTTGTTTGTATTTTTTAATCGATACAACTCACTATCAAACCATTTCATAAATAGAGTGTTGGTTTTTGTTTTTATATTACCATCAAGGATTAAGAAAACATAAATTTAAAGTTCAAAATATGACCAAAATATATATTATATATTTTTAACAGACGGTTAGAAATAAGAAATGAATATTTTAGTAATGGTTATATATCTCATTTTTGTTCTAATTTTGGATATTCAAAAAATTCTTAATAAACAATATAAAATAATAACATTTATATTCTAATTTCTTTGGTTTCAATGTTTTTTTATCACAGATTTACCTACGAAGATCATAATTGTAAGAAAATATGTGTTTTTCCCCCCCGCAATTTTGAAGTTATGTTTTGAAAATAGTAAAATTACTATTTAATATTAAACCTAATTGTTTTTTTTTTTTTTTTGAGCTGATTAACCTAATTGTTTTAAAGTTATAATTTAAATTAAGAAATGAAATAATAACAAAGATTCCTTTCACGTGGAGTATGTTTCTCAATTTTCACGATTTACGCCGAGGGCGAGATCAGAAAAATGTGCACTGAATTCCACTTTTACCCCTATATTTTTGTATTATTCCTTTTACGTCTCTCGTCCAGGCTCTGACCATGTTCATCGAGGCGCAAGATTTTCTAAACTATACCACGGCGGCTAAATTTACTACTTTGCCCTTCCTAATTTAACTTAATTCTATGTTTGTTGTTGTATTTATTTTTCTAAAGAATTACGATCTTTATTTTTATTTATCTCATTTAAGGATAGAATTGTATTTAACTAGGTGGTTATTATTGTTATTGTTATTATTCCTATTAATAAGTGTGTTTAGTCCTCTTTTAAAATCTTAATTCAAAAATTAATCTTTATAATATTTAAGATTAGAGATTAGTTTGATAGTTGTTTACCTAACTTCTATTTATAATTGATGTCTTTCTATTTTAGGTTTGATGGAAAGCTTTTCTTAGAGAAATTAATAGGAAAAAGTATAATGTTTGTGGGAGATTCACTTAGTCGGAATCAATGGCAATCTTTGACATGCATGCTTCACTCTGTTGTACCAGATTCACCTTACACTGTAACAAGAGTTGGAGATATTTCCACGTTCACTTTTACGGTATATTAAATCTTACAACTATAAAATTCTCCTCTTCACAAAATTTTTTTCTCTTTACAGAGAAATTAATAGATGAATATATGAAATTGGTAATTAATGGTTTGGTCGTCTAGGAATATGAAGTGAAGGTGATGTTAAATAGAAATGTATTTCTAGTAGACGTTGTGAAAGAAGAGATTGGGAGAGTGTTGAAGTTGGACTCTATCGAAAGATCGGCGAAGTTATGGAAAGACGTTGACTTTTTCATTTTCAACACTTGGCATTGGTGGAACCGCAGAGGACCTTCTCAACCGTAAGTTCTAAGACATATTTATTCTTTTCTTTTATAGACAAAATATAATTATTTCAATGTAATTATTATTATTTTCAGTTGGGATTATATCCAAATAGGGAAAGAAGTGTTGAAAGATATGGATAGAATGGTGGCCTTTGAGAAGGCTCTCACAACTTGGGGAACATGGGTTGATCTCAACATTGATCCTACAAAAACTATGGTCTTTTTCCAAGGAATTTCTCCATCCCATTACAAGTAAGATCTTTGCCCTTATTATTATTTATTTATTTTACAATAAAAATAAACATTTAAAAAGATGAATGTTTAGATTATTGGAGAGATTAGTGGTGCCTGCCTAGAAAATTGGGTACTATTTTGACAAGATTATTTGACATGATTTAAGAATAATTGAAGTTTGTCTAATTGATGTTGGCAACCTAACTCATAATTATCTAATTGATAATTGTATTTTTTTTAAACAAATAATTGATATATCTTGTATCCACCCTTTTAAACACATTTAAAATCCTAATAAGATTTCAAAGCTGAAGTAATTAATGGAACGTTTGGTTACGTTCTCGTTTGTTGTTTCTGTTTCTTTATTATTTTTAATAAAGAAAAATAGAATTGCATGATCCCAACACCCATGAATTCAAGGATAATAAAACAATATTTGTATTTATGTTTTGTAATAAATTGGAAACGTAAAGAAGAAAAAAGAAACTTATTTTTTTATTGTTTCTAAAATCTCTATACAATTTTGATAGTATTTCCTAAAAAAAAAGAGAAATAAAAAACATAATTAGTTGTAAAATGCTTTTCTTAATAAAATTTAAAAACAAGAAACAGAAACGTTACCAAATGGACCCTAAATAATTATTCTAAGTTTCTTATTGCTGCAAAACAAAGTTATGCTCAAAATTGTAACAAAAAATAGATAGTTTTTGCAATTAGAAATTTAGCTAAGAGCTCAAAAACGTCAAAATGTAAAAAAAATAGAAAAAAGAATATTGTTTTAAGACTCAAATCAGTATAAAAATTTAAGACATGACTCAATAATTAAAATATCTCTATTTTTCAAATGAAAATAATAAAGTAATTACAAAGCCAAAATGAGCAGAGGTTGTGAGTTGTGAGTTCGATCTTCCCTCTCGATATTGTAAAAGATATAAAGTAGTTACATAAATACTTAATATTGTAAAAAAAATGTAAAATTTATGCTACACAGAAGAGTGAAAAATTAACAGATTTTGAATTTGATTTATGATTTAAAATTATATCAGTGGAACTCTGTGGGGAGAACCAAGAGCAAAGAGCTGCGCCGGGCAGAGGCAACCGGTGGCCGGCTCCGTGTATCCCGGCGGGTCGCCGCCAGCCGTGGCGGTGCTGAAGGGGGCATTAGCTAAAATCACCAAGCCCGTTCACCTTCTAGACGTGACAGACCTATCACTGCTGAGGAAAGATGGGCATCCCTCCAACTATGGCTTAGGTGGCCCAATCGGATTGGACTGTAGCCACTGGTGCCTTGCCGGTGTTCCTGACACTTGGAACGTCATACTTTACAATCTCATTATTTAAAACCCCCCAATTTTTATTACATAAATTTGGAAATATTAATTTTCCTTATTATTTTATTTTCTTATTACAAGTTTACAGCACACAAGAATTTGGATGGAATTAGGGGAAATTGATGTCTTTGAAAGTGCACTTTTTTTAGTCCAAAGGGATACAATAAAGAGATGTGTGTTTGCTTTTATATGTTGTTAACTTTTATTATTATTATTTCTTCTTTTTTTTTTTACGAATTTGAACCTAGCTAAATTGATTAAGATATATTTATCCAATCAAAATATTGTGGGTTCGAATCTCCACCTGCTAAATACAATACAAAGACGATTTTGATGAAAGTTTTAAATTAAGACAAAATATTTAAAAATAATTAGGTCGGTTCGAATCTCCACCCACTAATTCAAACCCCATGAATATCACCTACTTAAAATATTAAAATCTTACGAATATCCGGTCAAACAATTATACACTAAGATTGGTCAAGACATCTATAAATTAGTTAGTACTATCATTGATATAACAAAAGAGCGGGATGAGCCGCCTTGTTTTCCGAAAGAGATCGGGGGACAGAAAAAGCTTTTATTGTGTCGCTTAAGTTATATAGGAAAAGTTTCAAAATTACAGAAGACCATAATAGAACCAAGGTTGATAGATAAGAGATGAAATAAAATCTCAATCTCTATAAAAAAAAATCTAAATCTCTATTAAGAAAAAGAAAGTAGAAAAAATATATTTACAAGATGTTCCGATACGTAAATGTAGGAATATATTATCTATTATAGACCCATAAAGGTGTTTATTTAGTTTAAAATTAAAATATTGTCATAAACATTGATGACTCCTTTAATTTCGTAACTAAATCTTTAATAAATAGACATTTTCAAGATTATCCAAAATAGAATAATCTTAAAATGAATCGCATGAAAATGAGATCTAATTTTTTAAAAATATATATATTGCAATTAGGAAATGGTGCAATTGGGCCGAAAGAGTAAATTGGGCTTTATGTTGAAAGAGGCCCGTCAGTTCCTCCTCGAGCATGGCTAGGGCTTCACAATCTTCAGCCTTCAGTTAGGGTTTGAAAAACCCGCAGCACTCTAAACTTTCCTCCAAAACTCGGCGCTCAGTCTTCTGTCTCTAGGGCTTTCAATCGAGATCATCAGGAACTGAAGTCATGGTGCACGTCTCCTTCTATAGGAACTGTGAGTATGCGAAATTTTATATCTACCGTTATCCAAAATGGCATTCAAAGATCTGTACATATGCTTCATTTTAACGTGGATCTTCAATTTCTCCTCTGATTTTATTGTTTGTAATTTCTTCTATTGTGATGTCGCATTTTGGGGTAGTTGTTAATCGAAATAGCTTGAACTGGGGGAATCGTCTGTTGGTTGTATTAGAATTCATGGGACATCAGATTTCTTAGGATCGTCTGTGACAATACCTCTCGCACAAATTTTTTTAAACAATACTTTCAAGTAATGGGGATTCTGTCATTATATATATAGATGGGAAGACGTTCAAGAAACCTCGACGCCCTTATGAGAAGGAGCGTCTGGATGCAGAACTGAAGCTTGTTGGTGAATACGGACTTCGGTGCAAAAGGGAGCTATGGCGGGTTCAATATGCACTGAGCAGAATCCGTAATAATGCACGTATGCTTTTAACACTTGATGAAAAGAATCCGCGTAGGATTTTTGAGGGAGAGGCGCTGCTTAGGAGGATGAACAGGTACGGCCTTTTGGATGAGAGTCAGAACAAGCTTGATTATGTGTTGGCACTTACTGTGGAAAATTTCCTTGAGCGTCGTCTACAAACTCTCGTGTTCAAGTCTGGAATGGCAAAGTCCATCCACCATGCTAGAGTGCTCATCAGGCAGAGGCATATAAGGTAGAGTGGTTTGAGTTTGATTATGTTCTTCCCCCAAGAATTATACTCTAATTTTTTACTCTAATGCATGCCACTAAGATTCTTTCTTGTTAAATTGTATTAAATATCCTAAACTGTATGATTGGGTTGGTTTTCAACTCATTTTATGTCTTATCAAGGAGGAGAAGGATTATGCTATTTTGAACAAATGCTGGCGTTTGATGATGAAAGATTTTGTTTAGACAATGAAAAATTTAAACCAATAGTTGCATAACTGAAACCAATCCTATGATTTAGCATTCTTTTTCTCATGAGCTGGTTTTGATTTGTTTTTTGACCTTGTATGAGATTCTTTTATGCTTGATGGTCAAGATCATTCTTGGGTTTGTAGGGTTGGGAGGCAGGTGGTTAATATCCCATCTTTCATGGTGAGAGTTGATTCTCAAAAGCACATAGACTTCTCTCTCACAAGTCCATTCGGCGGTGGACGCCCCGGAAGAGTGAAGAGAAAGAACCAGAAGGCAGCTGCCAAGAAGGCCGCTGGTGGAGATGGAGACGAAGAAGATGAGGATTGAGTTGAGATGGTAAAGATTTAGCCGAAAGGAAAGGATCTCAGGTATCTGAACCTCCCTGATGGGATGTTACATCTTTTACAAGTTTTGCTTTAATTACTTTTCATTGGAGATTTTGTGTTCTTTGGTGGTGGACTAGTTTTTGATCTTGGGACAATCTTCTCTTTTGTTTTAGTTGCCATAGTTTTGATGCTATTACAGGACTTATTTTCTCAATTTTCCTTTGCATTATGAATTTATTGAGTTTATTTGATACAAATCTGGTGGCTGGGCTTATATTATATTCAGGAATCTGATGCATTGTAATGTTTTATTGAATTCTAATTCCACCACTCCGGAGTTCTTCAAATCCAACTTTCTTTCCAGGCGATGCAAGTTTGAAAATTTATGCTACTGGGACAGCACGTACTTGAATCTGATATTATTTTATTTACTATTCTTAAATGTCATTTCTTTGGCAAATATGAAGAGTAGTGTTCATGTGCTGTTTGGTGTAATGTTTTCATTCCTCATTTCTAATTTTATCAAACGTTCATGTTTTTGGTTTCTTGTTTCCAATTTTCTAAAGAAATCTAAACATTTTGTAACTAATTTTGTTTCTTGTTGGTCCTTGTTTGGAAACATTCTCAAAATTGTATAGAAATTTTGGAAACAACTAAAACAAGTTTTTTTTTTCTTGTTTTCATTTCCAATTTGTTCTAAAATAAAAATATGAATATTGTTTGATCATACTTGAATTCATGGATTTTTGAGCCATGGAAGAAATAGAAACAAGAAAGAAACAAGAAATAGAAATGTTTGATTTTTGAACCATGAAAGTAACAGAAACAAGAAATAGAAATGTTATCAAACAAATGTGTTTGAGTATTGTTTTCGTTTTGTCTTTCATTTTTTTTAGAAATATTCTAAAAGTTGTTTACAAATTTTAGAATAATAAAACAAGTTTCTTATTTTTTTTTTGTTATCAATTTTTTTAATAAAAAAAATAAAGAAACAGAACTAATTACCAAGTGCCATTATATTTAAGAGGGAAAAAAATGAGAATGTTATCGGAAAAGTTTTGGTCCAATAATATGTTTTAACTGTTGAATGTATAATATTTAATTTTGTCTTTAATGATGATTTTTAATTTAATATTCAGTGTTTTGAAAGTTTTTATCGATTTTTGTTTTTTCAATCAAATCTTTTATAATTAACCCTTCGTGGTTCCTGCTAAAGAGTATTGTTCTAATTTCCATAAGCATGGTGGTTTCGATTTTGGTAATAAATGCATTCATATCCATTTATTTATTTCAATTTAGTTTCCACTTGTTTAATTTGTTTTTATTCATTTAAAATTTCATAACCAAAAAGTATACTTTAAAAAATGATAATTATAATAATTATGAGAGGGAAATGGTATAAAAACTAAAAAAAGCTTCAGGTTTCCATACAAATGACTTCTAAATCCTAAAAAATTGTTTAACAGCAAAAATAATCACTTGATTTTCTGATTAAATAAATGAGGGGCTTGAATAATTCCATTTTATTACATTAACTCAATTTATCACACTTGACACTTCTATCATATAATTAAAAAAATAACAATCCCTTTGATGCTTCTCTATTATAATTCTAAATTTTTATCTTTATTTTCATTGACTTGGGTGGGGATTAGAAACGAAAAAGAAAATTTGGTTAAGTTCATCGATATATATTTAATAAAAAGTCAATAAAAATTTTAGTTAATTTTAAAATTTTGCAGAGATGAAGATCAAACCATCATATTTTAAAATGATAATAAAAGTTTTATCTATTAAGATATACTTGAGTTAATACTAATAGTTAAAATTTTCCATTGATTTAAATTGTGAAAAATAACTATTTGTAATTCAGTGCATTTTTCGTACTATTTTTAAAAAATCAACTTTTGAAAAATAACTTATGGCGCATGAGGATGAGAATTGGTAAATTTAATTCATATATCTGATATCTAACACTCCTAAATTTACTTCCATTTTACAATTTATTATTATGCCACATTTCTGTTCTCATTTTAATAGGAATTTTTTAATAATAATAAAATAACATGTGAGGAAGAATATTCGACAATATTTTGGTCAAAGGTTGGTAACAATTTTAAGGGTTATAGATCAGTGGCAGATCTAGAATTTTTGTTGACGTGGACGTACTAACTATTTTATTCAAAATAACTTCAAATTCGAAGTTAGTGAAAAAAATATACCTTAGATAATTTAAATTGTCGATTTACTTTAGACCCTGCAAAATTAAAACTAAAAAATTATGTATGAGAAAAAAAATTAAATCTGATGATTTATAGAGAAGTAAAATAAAGATGTGAACATAATAATTCATTGAAAGAGTACTACATATACAACAATATATAAATAAAAAGTAAAAATAAACTTATTTCTGAAAAAGAAAACAAAAGTAAAAAAGTAGAAATAAACTTTGATTTTTTGTTTTTGTTTTTTATTTTTTATTTTTTATATTTTTGACGTCCGCTCGATTTACTGTGACAAGCTTGAGGTGGTGGCGACAATGGAGGAGGAGAAGTTTGGGGTTTCGAGTATCTCCGTCTTCTTTCTTAAGCAACACTCAACCAGATTCAGATTCAGATTCCTTCCTTAAGAATCTTACGCTATTTATAACGGCCATGGCGTTGATGGCCTCCACTCTCCTTTTTCCTCTCCATGTTTCTCCCATTTCTTCCCCCAAGTTCCCTCAATTCCCACTCTTTTCTCTTCCCCCCAAAACCCTAATTTCCAAACCCAGCCCTGCCACCATCAGATCCGCCAAAATGGTCGTTCGAGCCGAGAGTTTGCAGAGTCTTGTATCCGGGACTTTGAATATCGTTCGATCCAATCCGGCCACTTGGCACTCGGCCTTACTCAGCAATCTCCTGATTTTCATTGTGGGTTCGCCGATTCTCGTATCGGGGTTGTCTGTGTCCGGCATTGCTTCTGCTTTCTTGCTCGGTACTCTCACATGGCGTGCCTTTGGGCCCTCTGGTTTCCTTCTTGTTGCTACCTACTTCATCCTGGTTCGTCCACACCCCCCCTCTCTTTCTGAATTTCGGTTTTAGTTCCGGTTAATTTTTATGTTTGATTGGTGGGGTTTTGTTTTTGGACGATTTTCCTGAATTTAATTGGTTTGTTCCATTAATTTCAACGGCGTTGTGTTCTTTTTCATTCCTTCTGACTCCTGGCATTGAAATCAACTTCTCTGTTCTTTTTGTTGATCTCTACTTTTGTAGATTTTGTAGAATTCTAGTATGTTTGCACCCGTCTGTTTAGATGAACAGTTTTTATTTTTGAACAAGATAAGATGGAAAGGAACAAATTGTTCAAAATACAGTTAAAAAAAAAAATTGTTTAGATGAACGGTTAAAAAACAAATAGTTAAAACCCAGGGCGTTTAGATGCTTTCTCTTTCATGATTGTTCAGATTGTTGCATCAGCATACTAGCAGTCTTGCATTGACTGGTTATACAAATTGAGACTTCTAAAATCCATTTTCTAAAACTGGTTACACAAATCCAAGCTTCTCGACCTCGCTTAACAAATCCAGATTTATTAAAATTATGAGCCAATCATTCCGTTAGAGTTCTTAATCTTAATGGCGTTTCACGTTTGAGCCTTTTGGGAAATTCATTTCTAACTGTTTGAACCTGACTATTATGACATTCCAATGTTTGTGAAAGCTTAAAATTTTCACCTTGCCCAAAGGACTTCACCAGAACCATGATTTATCCACGCCTGAGATTGTTATTACAAATTATGAAATATTGTTGCTCTTTGTTTGAGAATATCTTTATTCCTACACAAATTTCAGTGCCATTGCTCCCCTATTCTTTACATTTGCTTCAGTGACTGGAAACCACTTACAGAAATGCATCTTCTGGCGGCGGTAATAAATCTCCTGCTGAATGCTGAATTTCTATTTCTTAGGGAACAGCTGCAACAAAGGTTAAGATGGCACAAAAGGAGGCACAGGGGGTAGCCGAAAAAAGAAAAGGGAGAAGAGGGCCAGGTAGCGTTATAGGATCTAGTGCTGCTGGTTGTGTTTGTGCTTTGCTCATGATAAATAAAGTTGGGGGAGAAGCATTCACGCAACTTTGGCGACTTGGTTTCGTTGCTAGTTTTTGTACTAAATTGAGTGATACTGTCTCAAGTGAAATAGGGAAGGCATATGGTAGGATAACGTAAGTAATATATCACTGGATGAAACAGTTGTTCGTTGTATTGTAATTTACTTCTGCTTGCTCTTTGATACATATAAACTCTGAAAACTTGCTGGATTTTTTGGTCTTGGAAATTTTAAAACCATTTCTATAATATTTTCTCAAGTTTTCAAAAAATGTGCAGGCTCTTCATTTTGGTTTTCATTTTTCTACTAATTATCAATTTTCTTGAGTTTTCAGTTTCAGGAGAATTTTCTAACCAGTTTATTTCTAATGAACGATATAGTTTATATTTATATGTGGAAATGGGAATCTACAATCTGTTTGGACCTTTCTAAATCTATTTACATGATGTTTCTTTTTCTCTTAAACTCAATTCCTTCTTGTAAGCACGTTATATATTACGCATGCTTCTTTTATAATCAGGTACCTGGTGACAACATTTAAGGTGGTTCCTCGGGGAACAGAAGGAGCCGTCAGTCTTGAGGGAACCTTTGCTGGACTCTTAGCAGCGATTGCTCTTTCATTTGTTGGCTGTCTTTTGGGTGACGTAATTATTTATCGTTCTGCCGCATTATGAACTTTACTGCAGCTTTATCTCTATAAGAAAATTTCCATCATGTCTTATAATCGTTCCCTTCTTATTTGGTATTGGTTGTCCTTTTAGTAATTATCTTTTTTAAAATATTAGCACTGAAGAACTTGATTATTGATGTCTTTTTCAAAATTTCCATCGTGTCATATAATCGTTCCCTTCTCATGGACTATTCAATAGAAATACCTGAAATTTTCCATCATTTGTTCTGCTTATTATTTTTGTTCTTTTGGTCAAACATTAATCTTGGATGCCGTTGTTAATTCCAACTTGGTATGCACACTGAGATTTGATTTTCTTATCACGGTAAAGATGAAGTAGGTTTTTTCAAAATCAATCTCAATGTGGTTTTCTTTTTCAGATGTGAACATTTGTATCTATAATTTCTATTTTCTTCTCAACCAACCTCATTCAAAACCTTAACTGAAGCAGGACTAGAGATCTTAGTCAAAACCTTAACTGAACCATGCCCCAAGGCCACATCCGACTAGGGCAGATTGCTGGCTTTTATCCGCTCCCCTCCCGACAATTTCAAGCACTATTTGACTCTCTTTTAATTTGGATTTCTCTTTCGATGTTGATGCAGGTAACTGCACCTGAAGCAATTGTATGCGTTATAGCTTCACAGATTGCTAATCTTGGTGAAAGCATCATCGGTGCTGTACTTCAAGAGAAGGAGGGATTCCAGTGGGTAGGTAACCAAAGTTTGTGGTCACGGATTGCCTTAATTTGATTCTATTTTTGCATTGGTTTCTTTCTCGCTTTCTCCCATTTCTTCCATTCCCTCTGTTTCATTTCGTTCCCTAGCAACAATGGGGTCCCGTGTTTCCATTACGATCTGGTTTCACTTTTTCGAGCTGCCATTCATTCTAATTCTTTCGGATACTGTTTGCTGCAGCTCAATAACGACGTTGTTAATGTCATCAACATATCTATGGGCAGCATTTTAGCTGTCTTGATGCAGCAACTCATACTTGGACACTGATACTCAGAATCAAGACGGAATTCGCGTCAAGAGCTCGGGTATTCTCTTGTATTTTCATTCCATGGAAAGAAAAATTACAAGGAAATTGCAACAGATTGACAAATTGCCCCGACGAGTTGCTTCGGTGAAATTCTTGCTTTGAGAATGGCCATTCAGTACTAGGGGGTAATACTGTGCCTTTTTAGAGGGTGACTGTAGACTTAATTTTTTAACCTCTAACATCAACTTATAGTTTATTGTCCTATTTTTAACTGTATTTGTAGGGGATGGAAAAGTTGTTCTACTTTGTCATGTTTTTGTCATTTTCCAGTTTTTGTTCTCTTACTTCATGTATAAAGCAGAGGGGTGGATGACATAAATTTAGTTTGACTTCTAGTAGGCATTTATGATTCACTTGGGAACTCCAATTTTAGTTTTTTACTTTTAATTTTAATTTTTATACTTTTAAAATGTCTGTCTTCGTCTTGTCTTTTTAAAAAGTGATCAATTTAGTCGTTATTTGTAAAAGTTTAACATGTTTTATACGAAATTTTTTAATATAAATTTATATCTATGTTTCAAAAAGTTTAGTGAGTGAAGTACCATACTAAAATTATGGTAGAAATAAACGAGATTACCTGTATCAACATCAAAACTGGTATGACTATAATACTATGTTTTACCATATAATCATGAGTCACTCAAAATAATGGATCCATCAGTAGTCAATTAGCTTCAAGATTATTTAGAACCATTTTAAAAATTTTAGAGACTAGAATTGTTTATTTTATAACTTCGAGGGCAAGATACCTTATTTGGGAAAAAAATGTATTTGTTTTGCTCAAAATAAAAATGAACGGACTTAAATAGTTATTTTTTTTATTGTATGAGATCATACAACTGAAAGGAACAAAAGTTAAAATATAGATATAAAAAATAGATGTTTTGAATAGTCCGTACATTTTAAAAAATGGACTAAAGTTTGAGATTAAAATAATATTTATTTATTTAAACTTCTTACCAAATTTGAGGTGCAAGATACTAAAGTTTGTGAAAATGATAAAACTTTAATGATGGTTTTCATTTCTCTAGAAAAAGTTTTCACATTCATTGGTTTCTATTTCTTGAATATAGTAGTTCCTACCAGAATAATTTGTTTATTTTTTTTATAAAAAGAATAATTTGTTTCTTACTTCATAGAAGTTTTAAATTATTTTTAGTATGTTAAATAAAGGGCCTGCAATACAAGGTACAAGGTATTGTGTGTATATATATATTTTTAATTTTCAATGGATGAGGGGTATGATAATCTTACAAGAATTGCCATTAATATTATTCACTAGACTTCAATATTATTTGACATGTATGCTAATACAATATTTTCAAATTATTGTAGTCTTCCTCAAAAAAAAAAAAATGTAGAATCCAGTTGTAATTGACATATATTAAGTTTAAATCTCTACCTTGAATTTATCGGGTAACATTCTATATTCTATAAAAGAAAAATAAAGAAAAAGAGAAAAAAAAATAGAGAGAGAGAATTAAAATAATATTATCACACTATTTGTAATAACCTAGAAATAAGGAATGATCACCTACTTAAAGAGCGAAGACTAGGTAGGTAGTGACTATCAATTTTTTTAAGTCTTTATCAATTTTTTAAAGTCTTTTTTAACCATGCTTTCATGATTTCAAGATTTTTTTTCATTCGGATGTGGTACCGATTCATCTATCTATCCTTCCTCTCTACTCAAGCTCATAAAATCCGTAGTAAACCATATCAAAGAAAATACATTTTCATTCGCAAATAAAGGAATTTAGGAATAAACAGTTTGCATCATAACTGCACAGGGAACAGAATGATATCAGGGTTAGAATAAAGCCAAAACTTACCTAACAAATACCTATGAATTTTGAGCAAGTCTTACCAAAGTTGAATCCCACTTAATACCATTACTCTAAAAGGAAAAAGAAGAAAAAAATTGCATTGTTTTCAACGCCCAAAACCAAGCAACTTTCTGCCCAAACCTTCTACTTCTTGTTTATCTAATTCTTCCCCTCCATACCTTTCACATGACCATGCTATCTTCCCCACAAGAAGTTGTCCTTGCCAGCTCTCCTGATGGCCCCATTGTTGCCTATGATGCCTCCACAGGCACCCCTCTAGCCAGCTTCAACGGTAGCCGGTCGCCTCGCCGTGGCATCACCCGGGCTGGGAGAAGTTTCATAGCCGTCTCCCACATCTGCCCGGTCACGGCTTCGGGTTCGATCCACCTTTATAATTGGTGGACTTCTTCTGCCTTCCAAAGCCTCTCTGTACCTGAACCTGTAGCTCCTCTCACAGCCACTCCTGATGGGTTCTATCTGTTTGCTGGTGGCCTTTCAGGCTGCATCCATACTCTCTCTTTACCATCAGGGGATGTTCTCAACTCTTTACCTGCACACAAGAAGCCAGTCTCTTGCCTCAAACTCAGTGATGATGGGTCACTTCTGATTTCAGGTGGGGATGATGGCAAAATCATTGTCATCCCAATATTTCAACTTGTCGAAGCCAACCCGCAAGACGATTCGACAAAACGCATTCTGTATCAGTTTTCAGCACATGCTGATTCAGTCACTGCCATTTCCACTGGCATGGGTATGTACAGTTCCCAAATAGTCTCCTGCTCATTGGATGGCAGATGCAAGTTCTGGAACTTGCTCTCAGGCACACTCTCACACACTGTGGTGTTCCCTTGTGCCATTTTCAGTGTGGTCTTGGACCCAAAAGGGGCACAGTTTTTTGCTGCAGGATCTGATGGCTTCGTGTACAAGGGCTCATTAAGGCATAAAAACAAACACCTTATGGGCACAGGCTCTGATCTAATTTCACCAGTGTCTAATGACTTGGTGCACAAGGCCTCATTGAGGCATAAAAACAAACACCTTATGGACACAAGCTCTGAACTAATTCCATGGGCTCCAAAACACGACAGTGCAGTGGTCTCTATAGTCATAGTGAATGAAGGAAATCACTTAATATCCGCAGCAGAAGATGGGAGCATCTGGGTTTGGGAAATAAACACGGGGCAGATCATTATGGACCTTGAAAATGAAATGGGAAGAAGCATAAGCGATTTGGTGACGGCCACACATAGAAGCCATGAAAAAGAACAGAGTGGTAGATTGGGAAGCCATGGGAGAGAATTAGAGAGTGAGAGCTTTAGATTACCCAATAGAATGCTGGGTTTGTCAATTGATCAAACAGTTGATATGCAACGTGCGTTGGCGGCGGCCGGAAGCGACGTGAGGAGAGCCATTGGGCTGCTGGAATCTGCCATTGCTGTTTATGAGAAGATGTTGGAGTTGATCCTCAAGGAAGCTAAAGCAGCAAATTGCTAAAATAAGGATAATATTTAAGTTATGCAAATCTTGATCATCCGTTAATTTAGATCCCGTGTACTTACCAAGAATGAAAATCTAAATTCGACGGATGAAATTAATTAGTACGAACTCACTTTAGATTCAACTTTAAACTTTAGTAACATACCTTTATTCGTTAAAAGATCGATTCCCCCCTCTTACTCTCTATTTAGTAACATTAATAAGAAGGAAAATGGAATATCTATACTTATTTGGGCTTAGAATAATAAAAATATAGTACACGAAATTACAATTATAATCTAAATAAAAAAAAAAGTGCCAAAACAAGATACTTGTACTTGTGTCCTGCGAGGAAAAGAATTTTCGAACACTCCTGGGAATTCCAATAAGGATTAGGATAATACTTCCTATAAATACAACTCTTTTGTTTTTCAACTTTTTGATTAGAGATATATGTCAATTACTACTGAACTATGTTCGTTTTGACAATATAACTTTTTTGTTAAAGTTTCACTTTTACAGAATTCAAAAGAAAATTGAGTGGGCGTGGGAAGAATCAAAACTGTGCTATATTAGACTTATGGTGGTTCATTGGTCGAAAAAAATTAGGATTAATTAAGAGGCAATGAGTTCAAAACCCATGATAGCCACCTAAATTAGGAATTAGTAATTCCTATGTGTTTTCCGACACTAAATATTGTAGGATCAAACGGTTGTCCCTTAAGATTAGTCAAGGTGCACGTAGGCTGGCCCAGACACTCACGGATAGATAAAAAAAAAACATTTACAGTAGACCATTATATACCATTTTAGCATGAAAAGACCCATATAAAGGAACAAAGATACATAAAACAACAGTAGAATAAAGCAAAGTCAGTCTCCTGGCTTGAAACCAACCATCATACCAAATATGTTAATGACATGTAATGAAATAATATGATCTCAGTTGGAAAAATTAGATAGAGATTTCAGTTACACAACCAAGACAGGAGCCATTAACATATACATAGTAAAACAAAATTTTCTTTTGTAGAACTACAAATAATCAAATCGGTCAACATGAATAGGAACATAATCATCTTGTGAAAACAAACACTACCCCATATGATGTATGAAATAAATCTGAAAAAGAATACCTAGAAGGTCAACTAATGCACAGGTTTTTATTTCTACATCAATGTAACAAATCCTAAACTATAGTGGTTACGTTACAGGTATACATTTCAAACAATAAACTTTGGTCGTGTCCACTTATTATAATCCAATTGTAATTGAAAGACTATAAACACAACAAACCCAGCAGAGGTTGAGAATTGGAACACTAGAAATGAACTTGTTCGGACATCTAGAACTGCCTCCTGCGTTTCGAAAATGTACCGTTATGTGAGCAATGTTGGACTCTTTCTGAGGAACCGGAGATGTCAGGAACAAAAACAGCACCATCCATAGAATTATGGTAACTTCTTGGCCAGTATAAACCAGAAGCTGTGGGTGGGGAGGGAATCTGAGGCACAGTCCAGGAAGCCTCTGGAACCTGGCCTGAGCACTCATCATCATCGTCCAGTTCGACCTCGGCAGCTCTCAAAACTGGTGAATCAGAATCTCCTAGCTTACCACTATCAGCCTGGTATATTTCACCAATAACGAAAAGCAAAATGTTTATTGCATCTCCATTGGCAGTATTATACTATTATGTGCAGTTCATAAAACATATTTCCTTTACTCAGTCCACCTATTTGCAGTTTAAGTTATCTATGAGGATAGGATATTATCAAAAGATACAAAAATTCGTGCACAACCTATTACAATCGGTAAAACAAAAGTTACGTCTTATAGTTCATCAAATAATTACTCTTTTAGAATAGTCCTGTATGAAGTATGAAAGATATGTTAACAGACTTAAGTCCCCCCTAGTCTCCTCCATTTATAAGCACTAGCACTCTGGAAACAAGAATCTACTCCGACGCCATGTCTAATAACTTTCTCTCTCTCTCTCCAGTCTCTACCAACCTTGAAGGGTGTATATATGGACAAGAGTATCAATGCTATACTAAATATTTACTTATAAAGAGGTTTGACACGTGAGTGGCATCCTACGAATAGGAAGATTCTTAAATTCCAGAAGCAACAAGCACAAGAAACCGATAAGAATGCTCAATATTCTGCAATCATAAACAAACACGGGTGCAGATTCAATATAAATATAAACAAGAGTTCATCAGGCATGCTAAAAATTGACCATTATTTGGAATTCATTGAATCTCAGAAAACCATCGTCATACCTTGGATGATCCATTATCCATATACCCATAACTCTGGTTGAATCCAGTCAGATTAATAAATTCGTCCATATGCCATTGTGAAAAGCCACCAGAAATAGAATCTCCAGAAAGAAAAATCTTATTTGGCACAAAGTCCTCAGATCCAATTGGTATAGACAGGGACCTGCTGAGTTCACCAGGAGAGGGTATGGAGAATTCTCTTTGAGGTAACGATCGTGATACAACTTTTGTCTCAGTAGATTTCTCTCTAGATTCTGCCTTAGGCGTGGAAGAACATGCAACAGGGTCAGTTGGCTCAAGTGCCACTTTCACACCAGTAAGCAGAAAGCGCTGATGAGCAGAAACATAAGTATTTGCCGTGTGTATAGCAACATCACACTTCCTGCAAAGTAATGCTCGATCCTCTAAACAGAAGATGTAGCCACTGGCTTCCTGCAAGAAATCACAGATTATTCAGAAAGGGCAATAATCTCAACCGATAAAGGAGCTTCAAAAATAGAAATGAAGTTGACTAACAGCTGATATTAATATTCTCCCAAGAAAATACTACAAATATACTACCAAAAATAGATAGGACGGACTATGTATATTTCTTAGAGCACTGCCAACTGAAAAACAGACTACCAAAAAGTACAAAATACAAAATACAAGAGAAAAGAGGGAAAGAGAGAAAGGAGAAGAATACAATGTTATAAATAACCACTCAATTTCCCCACAAGTAAGAATATTTCAATTTGATTAGCAATGCGTAGCTGTTTTGTCTTGACTGAATCCAAAAACCTTAAGCTATTATTATCAATATGTTTCGATATACCGATACAGAGTTGTAAGATTGAATAACCTATAGACTGACCTCCCCTTATTATCATCCTATATATTCCACAATCCACTACTAATATTTACTTTTTGAAGCCCTAGAGCTTCATATGCAGCAGCATCAATTAAATTGCATGCCATCAATACAAATATTGGTTTTATCTGTAGTAATTTTAATTCGCCTGTCATACTACTCCATTTTAGACTTCTCCCCACATATAGACACTGGCCTAAAACATTAAAGGCCCACTTTTCCTCTATTACTAGATTGGAAAGCATTTAAAGATCTATCTACCAGCATTTCAGAGCTCTAAAATTGTCCATACAGCCTCATCTCGAGCTGGAACCTACTTTTCTTTTCTTTGTCACAAGGATAATTATCAGCCCTTAATGAGATCTGGAAATATATAACTAGAAGAGTTTTCCAGGGAAAATATGGAGAGGCTCATAAGATTTGGCAACAGATTCGATTATATGTTAGTTGATTTAGCTAGTTCTCTCCAAGAACTTCTGAAACTACCCCTTTTAAATCTCTGATAGATTGGAGTGGATACCTCAATTCTTAACATACTACTCCATATTCATATCAAAATAGGAAGTGAATTCCAATCAATTCATTAAGTAAACCTCAATTCTCTGGAACCATCCGAAATTGATGTAATACTAAGAAAGAGCGATTGATTATACTATACCTGGCAGATGTCGCATTTGGGCATCTGAGACGAAGAACCAGAGAGAGGAACTCTCTGGTGCTTGCTGGCGAGCTTGTTGGCGGCGTGAATCTTCTCGTCGCAGGCCCAGCACAACGCCGCCTCATCGGCACAACACAGTACGGTGGCCTCCGCCACCTCGCAGACATTGCACTGAATCTTCATCCTCTCTTCCAACCCTTCTACACCGGAAAATCCTAAATCCCATTCATCATCACCAAAATTCTCTCGAAAACCCCAAAAGGAAAAAAGAAAAACTTCCCCTCTTCACCTGGTTCCGCGAGAATCGGTTTCAATCTTTGAAAAACCTCTGAATTTGAAAATTTCTGGGGAAGATTGAAATGGAATGAGGTTCCTTGGGGAGCGAGTGGATCAAGTTGGGAGAGGTTTAAGAAGGGGATTTGATTTGTGATTCGCAGTGCGAAACGGGACTGATATTTTGGTATCAGTTCCTCCCTCCAGTTTTCTCCACGTTGCACCTCTGATCTCCTGTCGTACTCCTCCACCTCCACCTCCACTACGACATGTCGTCTCCTCCTAGTAGATAGTGGATTGTGATCGTGGAATCAAATTTGTTAATGAACTAATTGCTCTTTTTTTTTTCCTTGATATTTTGTTTAACCTACATTTTAAACCTTTTTTCATTTGTTTTATTTTCTTCGATATCATATAAAAATATCTTAATTTCGCCTATGTAATTTGAAAATATCTTACTTACCTCCACCGTTATATAAATTAACACATAGATGATGAAGTACATCATCGTATATACTAATATAAGTTCACTTCATTTATAAAATTTGTCTCAACGATGAGAAAATGTTTGAGACTTGTAGTTTTAGTACGTTGTTTAGGAGTCTGAATTTGTATAATCAAATTATTACCTAAAGAAATAGGTTATAAAAATATGAACTTGTTTCACTTATGATTTATTTGAGTAATAATTTCTTTTAGTTGAATGGAAGGGGTGGAGGGATTCTCGAACTCCCGACCTTTAGGGAGTTTAGTAGTGCATGTCGTGACGGCCAGTTGAGTTATATGCTCGTGTCGACGTATATGAATGGTAAAAGTTAGTAGGTAGTATAAAAGTTAAATTTATAGGTTTACATAGCTAGTAGGACAAATTTATGACTTGACCGAATAAATGAACTCACATATGAAATATAAGTTTGACTTCTTAACTATGGATTATCCTAACGTAATTCATAAAATTTCCATTCATTTGTTTTATTTTCTTCGATATCACATGAATTAACATAGATAGATGATGAAGTGCATCATCATATATACTAATATAAATTCATTCATAAAATTTCTCTCAACCATGAAGAAATGTTTGAGACTTGTAGTTTTAGTAAGTTATTGAGGAGTTCGAGTTCATATAATCTAGATTTGGATTACCTAAAGAAATTGGCTATAAAAATATGAATTTGTGTAACTTATGATTTGTTTGAGAAGTAAGTTTTTCTTTTCTTTTTAGTTCAACAAAATGGGTGGAAGGATTCTCGAACCTTTACGGAGTTCAGGAGTGTATGTTTTGACCAGGTGAGTTATATGTTCGTGCCGACATGAATAGTAAAAGTTAGTAGGTAGCATAAAAGTTAAGTTTATATGAACCTTAACTTTACATAGCTAGTAGGACAAATTTATGACTTGACCGGATAAATGAACTTATATATGAGAAATATCCAAACGTAACCCATAAATCAGATACCTTCTAAACGATAAATGTAATTACAATATAGTTTCAGTCTCTAAAATTTACCTTCATTTTTAGTGTTCGCCAAGTTTAAAAAGTTCTATTTGAAGTTTTAAATTTGGTCATTGATATCAAAATCTTCAACAAAGAAAAAAAAAGAAAAAGAAAAAAAAAAGGGAAAGTGATGCAACTTGTTTTATTTCCTAATGTCTATGATTTTAGATCCGTCATTAAACTACAACAATAATAGCTTTGTCAAAGCGAGCGAAAGGCCAAACATTCAGGCCTAACGGGAATGAGCAACGACGAAATGACAAGATGAGGTGCTCCGGGCACCCCCAGCTTAGTGGTAATTGAAATGTACCTCCAACTAAGAAGTTGTAGTTCGATCCCACCCCAATATATTGTACTAAAAAAACAATAATAACTTCATATATAGGTAGATTTAACAACAATAATTTAAGTTTTATGGTGTATAATTGCAACACCCTCATCATTTGAGGTAATTTAAGATTTAGAACTTAATTGCCATAACTCTTATAATTGAGTGATAATTTTTTTGCATCTTTTAAGTTATAACTAATGAAGTTATAACGACAATATTAAATTATAACGATTCCATAACATTAAATGAGTGACTGCTCAAATTAAAATTTTAAGATGTTTTTGCATTTTCTTTTTCTTATAAATTTTAAAACTTAAACCAAATTAAAAAAAATATGTGAGCCCAAAACTGTACTTTAACCATAAAAGCTCAATGACCCATTAAAAACAACCACCTAAATTGTATTCGTATGATAAAACATATTTCTATATTTATGCATTAATAACATTATATAAAGTAAATGGAAAATGAGCTAATAAATAGTGTGTATAAATAAATAAGGTTATCCATTCTTGAAAAGAAATAAGATCCTGTTTAATTATCATTTTATTTTTGTCGATGTGGATGAAAATTTAACTTTTATATATATGTACTACTTTTATTTATGTATTTATTTGTTCTTGTTATATATATATTTAGAAATAATTTTCAAAATCTAAGCTGAATTTTTTAAAACAAAAAAAAAAGTAATTTTTATTTTTTAAATTTGACTAAGAATTAAATTACGTTTTTTAAAACACATTAAAAGAAATTGTGGCCAAGCAAAAAAGATAGTTTTTAAGAACAAAAAGACGAAAACAAAACGATTATGAAATTAATTTCAATTTGAAAATTAGATTTTAAAACATAACAAAAAAGATGTTAAATTGAAAAAAAAAATCAAAATCAACACAAAAATTATGCTAATGGATTTTCTTTAAAGAAAGAAAAAACACATGTTTATTATCCATAGGACGAGAGGATATCAATATGACAAAATGATTAATATCATACGGGTGGCTTCGAATAAGAATCAATCAATTTGGACTTGTATACTAGATTTGTTTTTTAAAAAAATTTAAATAAGAAAAAGTTCCTAATTAGAGTTTAATTAATAAATTATGAGAATGTAAAAATAAAAAATAAAAAAATTGTTGGATTCATCCTCGTGGTTTTCTTTTTATTTTATTAAATTTTGAGTCACAGTGCTCGGAGCTAAACTTACATTCACTTATGAATATATTTAAATACAAGCTACATAAGTTTAGACTTCTCTGTCCCTCGTGGATAATTGATTAAAAAGAAGAAAAAAATGAGACTTATTTCTTTATGTTCAAAAGATTAGAGGTCATTTTCACTTTTCATTTTTAAGTGTGGTTGGTTCAAAAGAAAGATAGGGTCCCATATATATAATTGAATAACAATGTGATAATAATTACCTAGAATTTATTGTTTGTTTGTTTATAATTTATGAGCACAGTGGTAAAATAAATCAAATATGAAAAGAAAAATACCAAATATGTCACAATTATGTCCCACCTATCAGCTGCCGTTCTTTGTTTTCAAAATAAAATATATTCATATGATATTTTTATAAATTGAAAGATCCAATAGTGATTTTAGAAGCCAATTAGCATTTGTTTGTATATTGTAAAAGTATATATACTATTTTCGTGGTAGTATTTTTCAACTTTCATTTATTTTTATTCATTTTAGTTTATGTATTTTCAAATTTTGTTTAGTTTAGTCTATGTACTCTCATAATGTTCATTTTAGTCCTTGTATTTTAAAAAACTGATCATTTTGGTCCCTTTATTTTTATTTTTATTTCATTTTTTTCAATTATAATTTTAGTATAAAACTTCATTTACTAAATTTCTTGAAATATAACCATAAGTTGATATTTAAAGGTCTCTAGTGTGTATAAAATTCGTGTTGAGTTTTTGCAAATAAAAACTAAATTATTCTATTTTTAAAATTATAGAAACAAAAAAAACAGATATTTTGAAAGTAGAAAGACTAAAATGAACAAAAGTAAAAAATATAAAGACTAAATAAACATTTTAAAAATACATGGACTAAAATGAAAAAAGAAATATTATTTAAACAAAAAAAAAGCCGTAAATATGAATATAAATATAAACAATAAGATTTGTAAAATACGTAAGGGGTGAAAATTACTTATTTATTAATCAATTTTTTTTGTTTTTTATTTCTATAATTTTTTAAATGATATATATTGATATCGATATTATTGAAATCTCTATGAAATTGACACCTCAGACATTAATAGTTTAATATTGCATAGTCAAAATTGGATTAAATTGACTTTTAGTCTTTATACTTCAACGTTAATTTAGTTTATATGCTCTTAAAATTTTAATTATTGTTTCATCATACTATTAAAATGTTAGATGTCTATGACATTTATAAAAAGTAATAGAAGATTACCACGAAGTTGAGGTCTGATTCAACTAATTAAAATTTTTGTGACATTTTTCAAAGGTTATAAATTTGAATTACACTTGGTAACAAGATAATTGTTACTAAAAAAAGAGATAATTGTAGTAGTTTAAAATACCTAGAAAATTAATCATTCAAAAAGATATATAACAACTTTTAAACCACTAAAATGACCTAATAAATTATCATTCAAAAAAAAATATATAACAACTTTTAAATTTGTTTAAGATAAGATCTTATAAATTATTATATGTTTCCATCTAAATTACCAATTTCATCCCAGTATGGTTCTAAAAATCTCAATTTAAGCCTTATAATTTTTAATCGTTTCAATTTCGTCTTTATAGCTTGGATAAACATTTACTACTTGAAAAAATCACTCTTTTTTTTTTTCATATTTCTTACTCCGCCCTAAACTCTAATATGGTGAATTAACATTATTAATCAAATAAAAAATGTCAATTTATCATTGTAAGTAAAAAGAACAAAAAAAAAATCATATATTCAATATGTTAAAGATATAAACAGCTTTTAAGGTAGGATTAAACCTAACAGAATTGAAATTTTTAAAACCTTACAGACTAAATAAAAATAAAATTCAACTAACAGAGAATAAATTAAAAATTTTAAAATCATATCAACCAAATTAAAATTACTTCAAAACTGTAAAATCCATAGTCATAATTTAGCCTATGTTTTTAACTCATATATTTTTTTAAAAATATTTTAAAAACACTATATATTTGAGAGAAAAAAAAAGAAAAAAGGAAAAAAAGAAAAAAAAGAAAAGAAGATGAAGATGAATTTATTTTCCTTCGGGCTATAAATTTGATTTTTAAATTTCAGTTTTTTCGCTGCACCGAGCTTCGAAGTTTTGTCCATTCGCGCGACAGTAACCAGAGATCGCAACTCCGAAGAACATTTCCCGCCAAATTCGATCTTCATCGACCGCTCTCTGAGGTTTTCGATTTCTCTTTTTCTCCAGTGTTTTCAAGCGTTTATGCTCTTCAAAATTGTTCAGATTCGCATTTCCAATTGAACACGGGGGAAGGCTGAAGATTGGATTCATATTCTTTGCGGTGAAGATTTTGTCTGAGAATTTCGAGGTATATTTGCTTCTACTTTGAAGATTTTCTGTCTTCTAACTTTCTCGCCTTTTGGAATCTCATAGGAGTTTTCTGTCAAGTAATTCGACTGCGATCAGAGTATTTCCAAGTGCCGACTTGTTTTCGAGTAAAATGCTATTTCTTGCTTCCGAGTTCCATTTTCTTTTAGGTTAAATTTTATTAAATCTATTTCAGTCCTGCAAGCAAGATAGTTTTGATTCCTTTGGTTTTTCTGTTTTCTTTTTAAGGTGTCTGTTATTGGGTAATTAATTAGTTCGTATTCTGGCAATTATTGTTGTTCAAGTTTTCCCTCGAGATATTTAGGATTTCCACCCGTTCTACCTACATTTATGAAAAAGAGTTTTGGGAGAAAACAGAGAATGATGTTGAAGAACCACATTACTTTATCAAAAAGTTTGGAACTATTGATCAAACCCTGGTAGCTTCCCCATTTATTTTTTGTTTGATTAATTCGACTTTTACTCGTATCTTGTCCCCACATAATGCAAGGAAACCTGATTTGAGGTTTTTAACGTATATAGTACCATTTAGTACTGTTATTATTATATCTTCACATGAACATCGGAAATGAGGTAGAATCATAGTGTTTTTATTCCTCGAGTTGAAGCTAAGAAATATCTTTGTAACTGGCAATTGAAACGACTTCTTTTATCTCTTCATGTTATAGAAAGGAAAAAAACAAGATTCTTTAAACATGGTAGTGCTGTCTATTCTTTTTTTGGGCTGGAATTTTCCAAAATATAATATATGCCGAGAAAAATGGAATTCTGAAGGGAACATGTACAGCTGTAGCAGTCAAGTTCTTTGGCTGGTATCATTTATGTTCCCCGTGACGAGCTTGGATTATGCCCCTGCCCTTGAGTAAATCTTAAAACAACAATCTCCATTTCAGATTGAGTTCCTGTTTCTGTCTGATGCAATCAGTTTACAGATGTTATTGGTTCTATTAGTTACATTCTCGACGAATTTTTGTCCTTTAGTTATATATGGCTCTAAAACCTTTAGAAGAAATGCTATTTTCTGAAAATTTTGGATTAAATGGGAGAATTTATAGAAGTTCGGTATGACAAATTGACAAGACTGAAGTATCTTTATATTCCATCATTTACATGGTAAGTGCTTAGGGTTAAGGAAAAACTAAGATTCCTATTACCACGTTGAATTTTGTCTTCGTGGATAGGGTGGAAGCCATCCATTGATATTATTTTACTATCGAGAAGAGCTTCTTGGCATTCACGTTTTAGAACTTTATGCTTAATTCGCAGCCTTCAAACTTATTTTGGTAGCCAAAAAGTGATTTTGTTTGATTTCTGGACTCAACAGTGAACAATGAAAGTTTGGATCCTTGATATTTTCACAGATTGGATTAACCTAACCGACACTGAATTTTGTTGGTTTTTCTTCTTTCAGATTTCGATCGACAGAGAAGTGGGACCTAAGTAACCAACACCACACTCCCTGTAATATTTCGAGTAGTTTGGTATCTGTTACATGGTTTACATTGCCTAATTTACTTCATTATTTGAACACGAAGTCCGATCCGCGTTATGCCTTTTAATTTTAGCAAATGATACGCGCTTCCTTTGTCAAGCTTTATGGTACGAAATGATCTGCAAGGCAACAAGATAACCTTAGCAAATTTTATTTTTGCACGAAAACTTCTTGAAGTCTTGAAATCCAAGGACAAGAAACACAGAAGTGTATGATGATCCTTCTTCGTATGATTTTCATTACAGGGTCTATGATTTCCCCAGTATTCCATGGAATTAGAGATTACTTCTGAAGGTTAATAATGAAATGCAATGCTTGCTGGAGAGAACTTGAAGGCCGAGCTATCTCGACAACTTGTGGTCACCTGTTGTGTATCCTAAGCTTGTAAAAAATTTTCATTTTGTATCGTTTAATTTGGTGAATATTTACCTGGCATGTTATTAGTAAATGTACGTGGTTTTGTTGCATAATTGTTCCTTAACGGTGTAAAGGCCAAGAAGATGCGAGCAAGATCCTTGGCAATGATGGAGCATGCCCAATTTGTGATCAAGTTCTTTCTAAAAGGTGAAGAGTTTTGTTATTATGACCCTTTCAAGTCTCAGCATTGCTTAACTGTTGTTCTCTTCAAACAAGGGTTGATTTTACACCAGTTGCAAGGTTGAAGAAAAACAGAAATGTAATTTTATCAATAGCATGTTAGAAATCTCTAAGAGGACCCATCAGCAGATGTACCAGTCATATCAACTTAGTAAATTTATTATCACCATATGGACAACTATTTTTTCCATGGATTTACAGGTACACAGACAATATGATTTTATCTTCTCTTACATGCTTCCTATTTCTGTTTGGCAGTCTCATGAAACCTGTGGACATCAATCCAAATGATGAATGGGTAAATGTAAGTATTTTCTTCAAAGGATTGCATTTAGCCTGCCTACCTAAGTTCAATTTTCAACCTTTTCCTTGTATGACTTTTCTGTTTCCTTGAATTATCCCGCTGGTTTTGCTGCTGATTTTCACAAAACAAAATATTGCAGATGGCCATGGCTGGTATATCTCCTCAGATTTGTATCCTTCGAAATGATCACGAATGATTCAAAATTATAATATTATGTTATAACAATATGAAATATAGATTGTTTCAATCTTCCTTGACTGATTCCAGTAATGAAAAGTGCATATAGAAGTGTAATGTTCTATATTGGACAAAAGGAATTGGAAATGCAGTACAAAATGAACAGAATCGTGGCTCAATGCCGGCAGAAATGTGAGGTGATGCAAGAAAAGTTTACCGAGAAACTGGAGCAGGTGCATACTGCATACCAAAAAATGGCCAAGAGATGCCAGATGATGGAGCGAGAGATGGAGAATTTAACCAAAGACAAACAAGAGCTCCAGGAGAAGTTTGCTGAAAAATCCAGGTCATTTTCTTTCATTTTTGCTTCCGATTTCTTAACTAGTTCCAGATGGGTTTTTAAGATCCTGATCCAGAATACTCGTTTGCATGTTAGGCAGAAGAGGAAACTAGATGAAATGTATGATCAATTGAGGAATGATCATGAATCACTAAAACGTTCTGCCATCCAGCCTGTGAGCAATTTTTATCCAAGAAATGAGCCTGATTTGTTCTCAAACCCTGTTAATATGATGGATAGCAGAGAACCCATGAGGAAAGGTAATCTTTTTCTCTTTCTAGTCTTATAGAATTGAAACCTTAAACATTTGATGCTTTCATGATATTGAGATTTCTATTTATATTATGGGTATTATTATTTAGCTTTCAAAAAATAGTCCAGAACTCTGCCTTTAATTTCAAAAATATCCCTAAACTTTGTCCTTAGTTTAAAAAATACTCCTACTATTTCAAAAGTTTTAATACGGTCCTTGACCTTTCAAAACATTTCAATAATATCGAGCAAACGTTCGTTAATATTTTTAATGGAAAGTTGATCTAAGAGAATCTGGAACAACATGACAATAAACGTGGAAGTTTCTTCCATATTTCCTCTCTTTTCAACCTAAAAGTTTTATTCCCCCATTGAGTTTTGCTTCTCCATTATCTACCTAATTTTGCCATAATCCCCTTTTAAAAACAATAACTTCTCCCACGTTTTCTCTATTTTCAGACTTAACCTATGCAAGCTTTCACGTTTATTGTCGCGTCGTTTTAGATTCTACTGCATCAACTTTCCGTTCAAAATATTAACAGATGTTTGCTCATCGTATTTCCAAAACAAGTTGACTTATTTCTTGCAGACTGGCTGGTGTCCGCTCCTGAAACCCCAGGACCAAGAGAGGAAATATGGCCAGCAAGACAGAATAGCGGGAACTCTGGTGGTCACTTCGACATTTCCGTTGGGTCACCTCCGAAACAAGCTCCTCCAATGGCAATGGAAGCTGGAAACAGAAGAGCTGGAGCTCACACTGCGTTTGGAACTGGAGCTGCCAACCCCTCCATGACTCTACGCAACTTGATTCTGTCCCCAATCAAACGACCTCAGCTCTCTCGTCGCCCTCAAATGTTCACGTAAGTAAACAACGCTTTTGCCTACATGAAATTTTGATCTTGACATTTTGCCTACATGAAATTTTGATCTTGACATTTTAGCGGAATCGTGAAACTCATTGTAGATTGTGAGATGGAAGTTGACAAGTTGACATTGGTGGACCAAAAGGCCTGATCAACTCGCTCGCTTTAAGGTTCTATTCACTTTTTTCTTTTCATAGTTTGAAGCCAAATGTGAAGGATCACACAAGAAAATAGGATGCTGCCTTTTTATCTTCCAGTTCGTGGACCATCAAATCTAACAAAAATTAACTTCCACCACCAACACAATCTTTTCTTCTTCTTCTTCCTTGAATGAAAAACCACAAAAGAAACACAAATGTAGGATTCATTAGTAATATTAAGACTTCTACCATGTTTCTTTTGTCAACAAATCAGACATTATGAAGATAGCCCTCATCTGAAGAAAAGGTACACATTATACTTAGCATATGGTTGTTATTGCTTCATTTCCTGAATAGGGAAAGTAAATTTTTGCTACTCTTTATATTTATTTTTACCATTTCAAATCGAGTTCTCTATACCTACGCACAAAAATATGCTACAAATGTGGCTAGAATGATTAATATACACATGATTTAGAATCGAAATATCGAAACATGAAGATACGTTTCAAAATTTTACCGCACGGGGGATAGATCATAATCCAGGTAATATGGTTCACAACTCAGTTTTCAGCTAGAGAGGGCACTTGTCAACCTCCATTCTATATATACAGAAAGATTGTTAAGACTCTTGGCAATGCCTCCCTTTGTCCATGAGATGGGTGTTGTAATTCATCTTACAAGTTGATTCACAATATTAAACTAGAAAGTAGCTGATATAACCCCGGGTTCTCCGAAGCCAAATCGATCCCGCAGATAGATAAACTTCATGCTCAATCTATGGTCAAAACGGTTCTTCTAAGTTGCAGATGCCAACTCGAACTGCAACTCAGCTGCTTGTATGTGCAATTATATACGAGATCTAGTTTGGATATGCATGTCTTTTGAAGTTTCTTCTGCCGCATACAACATACGGGTGGGCAAGAAAACTTCGAGACTCGGGGCCTTGGAAGATATTTCGACGATATCACCATATTGAATAGGATGAAAAACATGAGAACCATCAATGTAAATCACACCCTCTTTACACAACCAGGCCATTTCAATCGACTGATTGGGGGATACCGTCCCGTGCATAAAAGTGAATAGATTTCCAGGGTTGATGGGTTCTCGTACCATGTACTGAAGGTCCTGAGATAGAATGGGCATGGGAAATCCACCTGCTGATAGCATTGCAGCGGTTGATCCAGCAGCAGTCGAAATTCTTAGACCACTCGATCGACAGTTCAACAAAGGTGAAGATGACTGCTCATTCCCAATTCTGCAGGGTGGAAGGGGTCAGTGAAGATAATCAAATACAAGTGAGACACAAGAAAGAGGAACCAAGCATAGGAGGACGATTCTTACTTGAACGAGAACCGAGAGACCGATGCAGGACACGGATGTGCAATTAGTATGTCATTGAGAGGATAGCTTGTGAGTAACTCTGAATTTACAGATATGGATATCCTCGACAACTTGGAAGGGCCTGCGACACCACTAAGGATGCTATCTAATACCTGTATGAAAACGATCGAGCCCGTGGTCAATAAGTCGATTTGCTTGTTGGAAAAGTCGGTTTCGCTCGTATGTTTTACTTGAGCCCCTAAACTAGCATGAGGAGATTATAAAAATCCCTCTCAAAAATCAGAACTTATGATATTAAAGTGATGTCAACAACCTCAAGACATTCCCGTTTTCCCCGGCAACCGAAACTTGGAAGTAGCCATTGGCTTTACAAATTCAATCTTATAGGATTGAATTTTAAATTAAAACTTATTTATTAAAAAAAAATGAAGAAGAAGAGGGGGGAATATGCAAGAATCCAACTATCTAGCAAATTGAGATGATCATTTCACTCAGCCCTTGCGCATTCCTTCGAATGGGAGCTACAATGTTCTTCAAAGTGAATATGAAATATTTATCCACGTTTTTATTACTATCTATCGACATACTTCATAAAATTGAAACTTCGATAATTCCATCACCACTATCGGGTAATTCTACCTGTGTTTTACCAAATTAATCCTCAACTGTATTTCATTGGCTACAAACCCAACCACGGCTACAAAACCCTAATTTATTTAATTTTACACCATCTTATTATCCACAATACTTATATTTTCTCGTATATATAAAAAGAGTTAGGGGAAATTACATTTTTAGTCCTTGAAATTTAAGTTAGATTCTATTTGGTTCCTGGATTTCAAAATGTGACAGTTCAGTCCATGAGGTTTTGAAAATTGTTCTAAATAGTCCCAAAAGAAAATTGTTCAGTCTGGTTTCCTATCGGCTTATAAATGGTCTCTACCGGTAGTTAATACTGTTCCACTTCCATTGAAATGGAGCAGCTACTGCTAATAAATATCTAAAAGAGCCAAAATCAAATATAAGGACTTGATAGAGGCTTAAAACTCATTTCACTCGAAATCAGATACCGGCCTATCCAATCGTTCGAAACGACAATTTCGTTAGAAGTAAAGATTGTTTTCCAAAATCATATTATGGTCAAGTGGATAATTTGATATATCATGCTTCATGCAGAAACCTGCTAGCAAATTTAGGATTATTGTCTACATCCCACAGAGAGGCAGACAAAACAAGCAATGGAAATAGCCTATAATCTCTCTCCACACCCACACAACAGACAGACATCCAAAGCCACACACTCTTTTAAGGTAAGGTAAAGCAGACTTACTTGTTCAAAGTTTTTGACAGTGGCAGCACAAAGATGACCTGTGCTTCTAGAAGCATCAAACTCATTGCTGAACTCTTCCACCTAGACCAAAATATATTTTGTAAATACTACAATAAAGTATAATAAAGGTTTAATTACAAATCTAGACTATGTGTTGTGTCTCTATTTAGTTCCTGAACTTCGAAAAGTTTTAATGATATCCTTAGCCTTTGAAAATGCGTTATATAGATTGGTTGATTTGGCACAAAGTGAGGGATAAATGACAAACGAAAGTGGATAGCTGGACAAAATATTTGTTCTTCAAAAGGGATCTGATATGTGGCTTAAAAGAGAAAATTGTTGCACATATTATTTTATTTTGTCCAATTACTCATGTCCTATTGTTATCTGTCTATCATTTTGTGTCAATTCAATTGACATTTGTCCAATAGACACGTTGCATCATCATTTAAATAACAAAAAATACAAAGAATTGATATTCAAAGTTCAAGAGCATAATTCAAATTCTTTAAAGTTTAAAGACTAAATAGAGACAATAATAAAAGTTTAAGGACTACAATTTGTAATTTAATCTAAAATAAATCTCCATCAATCATCAAGGCTTTCAAAGGACTTAAAGGAAATACCTAGAGTTATAAGATCACAGAGTTACCTCATCCACTTGAGTAGGATCAGAATTTACTCCAATAACAGGGATTGACTCGTCCAAGAAATGGCTCGCCTGCAAAAGGGTGCCATCACCACCAACCGTGACGACAAGGTCTACATCACGAATTGGCTCGGATAGATCATTGCGTAATACAGGTTCCCAATCCACAGGCTTCTGCTGCAAAATATCCTTACAAAGATTTATAGCTTCCCTGTGCACTTCATTTCTGTTCTCTAAGTGGCGTAAGACCTGCAAATGTCACAAATTTCCAACAAAATTTTATAAATCATTATATGAGTATTTAACAGTTATATTTAGCACTTAGCAGACTCCATTGAATATGTAGGAGTATAGATTCAAGAAATATATAAAATCAAAAACCAACAAGGATGTTCATAATTTTACCTGGCATAGACAAAGAAAACAAGGAATGGCCAAGGCTAATAACAAAAATATAGAATATCGACTAAAATGAGAGAGCATTTCAAGATCTCCATCATATGCATCTGTCAATAGGCAGAAACTTTCAAAAGTTGAGATTAGAAGTTGTATACAATCATTTTAAATCATTGTGCCCAATTTTAATATATCAATATTCATTCTTCTTCAATGCTGATATTGTAAGCAGTTGAACAAACTTCCCTTCAGACAAATAAAAAACAGAGAACAAGGAGATTAGTCAGGTCACCTAAATTTCCCACACGAGAATCTCCCCCTATTTCAAGGAGGGATGGGATAAGGCAGAAAATTTTGTCCCCATTTTGATTTTAAGGAGGGGGATGGGGAGTACTCTTCTGGACCCCACTCCTGACCCCTTTTATATTTATTAATATTATGCGTCGTTTCTTTTTTTCTTTTTTTTTTTTTGGGATAAAAGTCACACTTAAAAACAGCTAAAAAAAAAGAGAAGACAGGCTATGGGTTGAGGGTTGAGAAAACCCTCTCCCAAGCTCTAAACAACCGCTGCTTTCCAATCATAATCGAAATAAAAGTGTAATTACAAAAGAATTTCTTTTGGTTTGCTATCCACCCAGAGTATACTATTACAAAAAGAATCCTCAAGGAACTTTTGCTTCAAAAAGCCTACTATTCCTCTGAAACCCCATTTCAAAAAGTCTACAATATAGTTAAATCCATATAAATTATATGAATAGTATGAAAATGTATGCTTTTTTTTTCATTTAAAAAAATCACAAAAATATATCTATTGCCATTAATTTACAATATAACTAAAATTTTTAATTTTATAAAAGTACATGTATTAATGGAGAAAATTCCTGTGGAAAGCAATAAACTCCCCATCAGAGAATGCCAAACCTTTCAAAAGTATTACTAGGAGATTAATGAGGACACATAATGATTCAAGGGGGTGGAGACAGGACGATGAAGCCATACAATCTCAACCCAACTAGTTGAAACGTCTAGTTGAAGTGCATCTAAGTTAGCCCAGACACCACCATTAAATCTAAGATTCGAACGCAGTACATGAGGCAGAGCCATTACGTCAGCAAGGGGAGGAAGCCAGCCAGCAATCCAAAGGCTATTTTTGCCCAGACACCACCATTACTAAAACTTATTGATATAATTATTTTTTATCTTTTAGAATAAAGCAAGTTATATATATTGTTCTTAGGTAAGAGACAATTACCGACCAAAATACACCAGGATTTAATTTTACCCATTAGGAAAAGAAGAGCAAATTAATTCCACCACTAAATTAACTTCAGGGTTCAATCTTATGAAATTAAGACTTCGAGATCAAATTTAACTCGCTCATGACTCAATAAGTACACAATTAAAAAAAAGTATTAATTTTTCCTGTTTATTTATTACCAGAGACAACGAATCATCTAAATTAAATCCATGATCTTGGGAGAGAATAAATTCCCATGTGGGAACCAGAAGAGACATCAAATGGACAAGGAGAACACCCATGGCCCATACAAATCTCTAAATAAATTAACACATTAATAACAAAAACTATAGTCAGTAGTGTTCCATCCAAAGTTTTTTTTCCCTTTTTTTTCCCTTCTCATATTGTAGCTATCAAGTCAACTTACACACATCTCCACTAATCTATGGACGATTGTTTAATCTTACAACATTCAAACGTTAGAAAACAAATAGTCAAATCTTAATAACGTAAGTGGCCAAGAGTTTGAACCCATACTCCAATTCTCACCTGTCCAAATGATCACTAGGCCAATCCGGAGTAGTTGTAGAGTTAAAAGGACTAAAATGGAATGTTTGATCAGAAACCAAAACAAAATAGGCTTAAAAGCTGAATAACAAAAACATGATTTAAACCTAAAAACAATATCCGCTCATAATTGCAAATGCAGAAGCAAAAACCGAAATACATCAGAAACCCATCAACCCAGAAAGAATACGGGACGAAGAAATGAACTTCCGGACTAAAATTGATGGCCGACACACAGAGCATTGAATCAGAATGGAAGAGAAAAGTGGAATTAGCTATCACCTGGGGGCTGGTGAAGCGAGTAAAGCCGTCGGAATGGAGGACGGGGTTGGCATCAAATGGCTTCAGAAGAAGAAGCAATCTCCTGATCGCCATTTTCGTCTGGCCGCGAAAATTAGGGTTGGAAGTGGGAGGGGAAAGCTGAGAAACGGGGCGAACGCACAACATGAAACTTGAAGAGAAGAGAAGAGAAGAGAAGACGGTGCGGGGATCGGCGTCGGCTTTCTGATACAAACAACGCTCCGCCGAGCCCGGCTTCGAGATGATCGTGTCTCGGGTCGGGTCAGGCTTTAGGGCTTTCTTTTTATTCAAATTATTAAATTGATTACTTTATGTTCAAAATTGGGTAAAATTGTAATGTTTTGTCTTAATAACAATGGTGTATTCTATCATTGCGTGACAAGTCATATTGATATTGTTGTACTCAATTTAAAAAAAAAAAAGGAAAAAAAAAGAAGACAATTGTCCTCTATGAGCTTTGATGTTTTGAAATTGATTCATGACGATGTTATTATTTATTATCAAATAAATATTTTTCAATATATGTTACGAAGGCCTAAATCGAATTTTCACAATAGTCATGGAGGGTTGAACCAAAGACTTTGAAAAAGGTAGATGTAGATATTGCCAACCAATCAAAGGTCTAACACCAATGTAAAATGGGTCTATTAATTAATAAGTCGTATTAAAATCTTTTTCAGCATTATATATTTCAAATATAAGAGTAGAAAGTCGAATAAATGTGGTACCACCTTAAAAAAGGTTATTGATTTTTTCGAGTTAGGCTCGTTTTAGCGAGATTATTGATTTATTTACTTGTTGAATGCTCAATGTTTCATATTTTTTCATAAAAAAAAGGGGAAAAAAATGATATTGGTTGCAAAAACATTGAGTACAAATACATATTTTAGATACAAGTTTGTAACACCTTTTAAAGGTTTATATGGCAGCTTTTCTTTCCTGGATATGAATATTAATTATCTAGGAGTTAAATGTTTGAGATCATTTTTTTTATTTATACGTGTTTAAATAGGCAACATAATTAATATATGAGAACTAAATTTATGTGTTTGAATATTTTAGTTAAAAGTCACAACTTTTACTTAGAGATAGATACTAGACTGCGATTTAGATTAGTATTATTTAAGAGAAAAATTAATGATAATAGAATTATAAATTAAAAATAGTATTATTTAATATATTATAATATTTAATTAAAATAAAAATAAATAAATACTTTTTACATTATTAACTAAAAGTAAGACTCAATACTTAATAGCTAAATTTAATTAGTAAGAAATAATTAAATGGGTTTGAATTAATTAAAATGCTAATATCAGAGAATTAAATTATTCATAAGAACTAATATGAATAATTAAAATAAGATAAAATATTAATTATAAATGTAATAATTAAACTTTATTAAGACTAATATGTTAACAATTAATTAATAATGCTATTATGTTTAATGTTCATTTCCCTAGCTCACATAAAAATCCATGCACATGGTGGGCAATTATAAACCAATGGGTGAGTTATAATGCTTCTTAGATAATAATATCCTGAAGTTTAAAAAGTAAAATATTGTATTTTGATGTATTATACGATTTTTTTAATACATTTTTCTCTCTAAGACTAAGTTTTTTCAAATGAGTGTGAGAAAAAAGTGGGGAGGGGAGTGCCCGTGGCCATGGGACCTCCTCTCCTTATCTTCTGTGTGGAGGGTGTGTGTTTTCTCTCCGTCGTCCGATTGAGTTTTTTTAGTGGGTGTTTCTCTCTGCTTTGTTCCAGTTCTTCTGTAGTAAGTAGCATGGATTGAGATATAACAGAGACCTCTATTGTTATTGTGGAGGTGATTTTCGGGGAGGGTCCTTCTTTCCCGCTGGTTTCTGTGATGTTAGATGGTGGTCAGGTGTCGGGAATCTCTCCATTGGATGTCGATAGTGTTGTTGCGGCTGACAAAATCAAAGGCAACATTGTTTTGTATGGTTTGTGGCTTCATCATCAGGACGTTTTGAAGAGTTATCAGTTACAAAATTGAAGAGGGCAACTGTGTACAATTTCTTGGGATGACTCTTCATCTTCGTTGCATCCTTGTTTAGAGTCCAGAGGCAATGACGACGGAGCAAAATATGGGTCACGGTGGGGTGCGGTGGCGATCGACTCGAACACTGTTTTGGAATTTGTCGAGGCTATAAGTCTTTATTGTATTGAGATTTGCTAGCATGATTTGAAGAATTTGTCTAATCCTTCCTTATGTGTCATGATGGAGAATAAGGCAACTTTAGAAGCGATTATTTCCCCTGACGTCATTGAATGAGGATAATTATTGATTCTGATTGTGGTGCATGATCATCACTCTTCTAACGTAATCCTTAGTGGTCTTTTTTTTTTATAATGCAGTGTTGTTTAAATGAAAAAAAATAAAAATAAAAAGTAAAATATTGTAAGATAAACATGGATATTTAATGTATGTCTCAAAATTAATGGTAATTCATTAAACAATAGACTCTTAGGATATTACGACCAAAAAGGTCATGAGTTCTAATTTCCACTCATGTACTAAAATACATACACACTAAGGGATGGTTACACTGATTTGAATTCTGAGTCCTTTATTTTTTTTCACCGAGAGTACTTTTATCATATTTTTTAATACACCAAGAATGGTTTCTTTTTAGAAAAATAATAATAAAAAGAAAAAACCTCAATCCATGAACCTTGAGAAATATTTTTCTTTTTCAAATTATTTAACCACCCAAATTCAACTTTAGCTACATGCGGTAACATTTTAATATTATTTAGTTTAAATAAATTTGAGTTTTTTTGGTTAATTAAATGAGAGGAGTCTTTGAGTTGTTTTGAAATTGATTTTTAGGAGTTAAATTATTAATGAGTAATTCATTTTTAAATTCAATCTTTACTCTAATTTCTCGAAAAAATTCTCTTTGCTCTTTTCAGAGCAATTAGACAAAATAGAGGACCCTTTTTAGTGAAGCATTGAGATCAACATCTTTGTGGACGGACGCAACATTTGAGTTAGATTATTTTATTCAGTAGACATGTGGAGAAAGCCAATAATTCCTCCCAACGAGATTTATTCTCCTTTAAAAATAAAAATCAAGTACATGCACCTCAATTATACACGTATTTATTTCTTAGTATTTACTATCATTTCTGTTGATGCTGGAATTCAGCCTCTTGAATTCTCGCCAAACTAGCATCAAACTTGATGATCATGAAACCGATCACTTGCCAAACCGAGCAGCATTAAATCGGTGTGACTTCTGTCACACGGGCTCCGAAGCTTAAGTTAGGAACGGAGAAATAATGTTGCCAAGTATTAGGGTAGGGATGTTAGGCATACCTCTAGGGTTAGCATGCTGCTTTATTTATAAGAGATTTCTCCCCTTTGAAATGCCTTGTGTTGGGTTAGCATAGTCCATCATTGATGAAGTTGTTGGATCACAAAGGTTTACAGATTGGGCCGCCTCAACTGACGGGTGAGGTGGGAAGAAAGCTTGGCCATTTAGCCTAGCGCTACTCGGTACCGAGTAGAGGTTGGGGCCAAGCTCCGGTAGACCCATGTGGCTTGGCCCCTATTTGGCCTTTGCTCGGTCGCTTGGCTTACTTCAACCTATTTTGTTCACCTAGGCTCATTTCTTCTCATCTAACCAAATCTCATCTCATAACAATTTCTTCTATTATTTGTAATTTTCCCATCACTAGATTAGTCAACATTTTATCTTTCGAATGCAGTGACAAGAATATTAGGTTATCTAATTCCATTTTAGTCATGGGACTTTTGGATATATTCAATTTTAACCCTTAAACTTAAAAATAAAAAATAAAAATAATTTTAGTCCTTACCATTATTTTGCTTTTGACAAATGAGTAATAAGACTTCGAGTGTGTGTATTAACACAACGATGTGGACATCTATTGGAGTGTATTGGCTGAGACAAGTATTATTGAGTAGAAAGATACTAGTTGGCGAAATAATAACAAGGATAAAATGTGGTTATTTTTTTAAAATTCTATGGACTAAAATAGACATTTTAAAATTTTAGAGACTTTTTTTTTGTTAAAGTTTAATGACTATAATAAAAATTGTAATGAGTATAATTATGTTTACATTTTATTCATAGAATATATTAGATTGACGTTAGGTTTAAATTCTATTTTTATCTGTCAACTTTTATTTTTATTTATTTATTTATTGTCTCTTCATTTTTCTAACACTCTTTTGAGTTTACAGTTAAAAAATAAAAAATAAAAAATTTCTATAATCATTTTTATTAATTTTTATAAACTATTTATTAGAAACCTAACATAGGCTCACATTTTATTCATCTACTTCATGAGATGTCTTACTTGAAATCATGTGCAAAAGATCAACTACTGAATTTTAAAATATATTTTGATTTAAGTTAATTATCAATTAGATTTCTATTAATTTTGACTTAATTTTAATTTGATTTATATAGTTCTAAAAACTTTATTTTAATTTTTGTGATTTAAAAATTTAATTGAGTTTGTCAAATCCATAACTCATCGTTACCAAAATGACATGTTTATTATTTACATAATAATGAGCTAGTTAAGGCTGAAAAATAAAAAGAGTAAGCATGTGTAAGTTTTGAAGTGAGTAAAAAATGATTTATAGAATAATTTATGAAGTTTAATTGGAGTTAAATTAAAGCTTTTAGAACTATAAAAATCATATTGAAAATATTAAACTTAGGCTCGGAATAATTTTGAGAGCACTCAAAAAATGATTATGAGAGAATCATAAATGTTTTTATGTTTGATAAAATTGATCGTTGATGAATCTATTTAAAATCACTTATCTACTAGTTTTAAAAAGTGAGTTCTAATAAAATTAGGTACCTCCCGCTAAAAAGTTCTAAATCGAAAAAGGTGTGAACTTCTTATAAACTTGGAAGAAATTTTAAAATATTTCTCTCTCTAGTGGCTAAGTAGTCCGACGTTGGATGTTGCTGCGGTTGTTTGGAAGGACAAAGCGGCTCTAGTGCAAAAAATAAATAATAATAAAAAAATAAATAATAATAATAATAAAATAATAAAAACGATGTACTAAACCCATCCTAAAAATAACTTAAATAAAAAAGTTATAACAAAGTAGTATGGAAAAAAGTATAATTGAACCATATTAAAATAGAAAAGACTAAATTAAAATTTTGTAAGTAAAATACTATTTTGCTCACTATATTTTTAGATTTTGATTATTTTGATAATTATACTTTCAACTTTAATGAATTCTAATCGAAACATTCGTTTTGATCATGTACTTTTAAAAAGGGATCGTTTTAGTCCGTTCATTTTATTTTTTATCTCATTGTTTTTATTACAATTTCAACACGACACTATACTCATGTATTTCTTGAAATGTAGTCATAATTTTTAGATGAAAGAATTTTCGATGTTAAATTTTTGCAAATATAATTAAAATGATCAGTTTTTTAAAGCAGTGAGACAAAAATGGATATTTTAAAAGAACATTTGAGAGGAATGAAATTGAAAGTAGGGAGGGGTACAAAATAACAAATTAACCAAGTTTTCAAATGGGTAAATGAGAGAAATATATATTTTAGCATTAAAATATTTAGTTAAAACGTCCTCTTGAGCTGTCCCTACTAAAATGGTCATTTAATTCTATTCCATTTTTTTTACAGAAATCAAAAATTGTTTTCTCCTAGGTGTCCATATTATGGATGGGAGGAAAAAAAAAAGGACAAGAATAATATTATTTAGAAAACAAATTTATCTAAAACAAATCAACTAAATCAACTAAAAAAAATTTATCTAAAACAAATCAATTAAATATTTATTTTGAAGTTATCTAAAAGAGGTTTGGTTCAAGCCAAATCAAATTACCTAATTAAATCGGAACTAAATCCGAGTACTTTTGAGAGATTTTATCTCAAATATAGTAAAAAGGTAAGTATTTAATTAAATAAATATTCTTAAGTTAGCAATTGGGTAAAAAGATAAATTTAAATTTAAATTTTGGTTGATTTAGCTTAGATCATTTTATTTGATAATTAGATTTAGTCTAACTTTTAAATCAAAATATTACCTCTGCACAAATTACATTCAAAAGATCCCGAAAAATAATTTCGAAAACAAATCCTACTAAATTTTCGAAAATAGATTTGTTTATATAAAAAAAATTAAAATTTTAAACTCTATTTAGAAGATAGAATTAAAAAACACATTATTAAAAAAATGGTAAAATTTTTAAACTCTAAATTAAAAATTCTAAAAATGAAATGATATATTTGAGCTTGTACAACCCTAAATGATAGAAGTTAAAAACTTTAAATAGTCTTAAGGAAAAAAATTCAAAGCTAGGGAGTAGAAACCCTGAGAAGGAAAAAAAAGAGAAAAAATAAACTGCAGAAATTGCATGCGATTTCCATAGCCAACACGTGGCTCCCACAATACGTTAGCTGCGACTTCTCCTCAAATTACGGCCGTCCGATTTGGGATATGGATGCGTTTTTTTAAATATTTTCTAAGCTACATTATTTTTGTTATTATTTTTTAAAAATCCTAAAAAAAAGTAAAATATAATTATTTAATAACGATTTTTTCTTTTTGGATAGATGAACTTTATTTCAACGTGAAACACGAGTTTTTATTTTTTCAAGGTTCCTACTTCTCTTCGTTAGCCATGTTTAAGAAAAGAGGGAAATTTCAGACAGCAATAAAAAAAAAAAAACAAAATTAATTAAGTTTGTAAACCGCTACTTTCAAAGTTTCACCCAGGTGTGATTGGTTAACCCTTTCGCTTTTTGTTTTAAAAATTTAAGTTTAAAAATATTATTTCCTCCTCGATCTTCTTTAATTTTGTTATATAGTTTTTATAAAAATTTTCAAAATCTATGTCAAATTTAAAAAATAAAAAAAAATTTATTTTATTTTTGAAGTTTGCCCAACCATTCAAATATGTTTTTGTGAGAAAGGAAAAGTTTCAAACTTTTCTTTTAATTTGACTTCCATTTCAAATGTATTTTTAAGAAATATTAAATCACGCTAGAAATTGTGATTATTAGCATGCCTAAATAACTATCAAATATTAAATTATAATAAGCAAGATTTGACACGAATGACAAAAAGAAGTCAACTTGAGATTGACTTGCCATAGCATGTTTTAATAATTATTGGAAAAATAATGTTGAGCAAGATTTAATAGTTATGGAAATTATTATGCGATTCTTATTATTAAATTATATTTTCAAAATAAAAGGGTGTGGTAGAGGACAGATATCTTATTTTGGAAAATTTGTTATTTGAAATGCCAAAGAATATATCGTTCTATTTTGAAATATTTGTATTTAGATTCATATAGAAACTAATTCTAGATTTTTTAACTATATATCTTTATTTCTCCGACTATCATTTTGATTGATATGAAATTACATTTTTAATTTCTGTATCTCAACTTCTATATCAATTTAATCTTGAATCTTGTTTCAATTTAATCCCTCTACTTTATACACTACTATACCATGAAATTTTTAGAATTTTCTCGATTCTCAATTTGGTCTCACATCTTCCAATTTTATCCCTCATGTTTAAAAAAGTTTTCAATTTAGTCTTTAATCTTCAAAATTTTAATTTCATTTTGTTTCCTTTCATAACTTTTTTTTTATATATATATATAAAAAAAGGAATCAGAGCTTGACACTTCCATACCCAATAAAGACACTCGCTCTCGCTCCAAGGTCCGACTACTCTTACTAAATACCGCTTACTTACCCAACATTTAGATCTATTAAATTTCTAGCTTTAATTTTCGATAGGGACGATATTGAGAAACTTTTCAGAACATACAGATAAGAAAAATAATGTGCAAAAGGTAAAAAATTTAATAGCATCCATTCATTCATAGGATTTGAAACTTGCACATTGCGCAGAATGCAGACTACAGCATCTCTGCTCTGATATCCTAAAATAATAGTCGACAACAAAAATCAAAACTCTAAAATACATCAGGGAGATTGAATCTAATCTTCGCCTTTGTATTGCAGCAGCAGCAAGAGACCATAACAATTAATTATGAGTGAAAATGAGACATCATAGATGAAATGTGACAATCATAAACATATAACTAAAGCAAATGCATATATGAATCTTAAGTTCTAAAGCTCAAAACTTAATCAGGCCGAGGTTTTCTTGTTTGGTTCGAAGACGTACTTGATCAACGACTCCTTGATCCCGAGCAACTCCGGGAACTCATTCTTCAACTTTGAAGTATCCATCTCATTGTTGCTTCGAGGGGCCACAATTACCTTGGCCTGCTCTTCAAGTGTGAAGTTAGCCCACTTGAAACTAGGGTCCATGTATTTCTTGTACATCTCGAGAATCTCGTTGTGACTCACAACGCCGGGGTTTGTGAAGTTCCAGATGCCCTTCAAGTTACGCTTGGCCATCTCAATCGAAATGGGAAGAAGCTCATCCAGGATGGTCATGCTGTTGGGGATGTTGACTACCTTGTTGTAGCGAGAAATCTTAGTAATGAAGTTGCGTGGGTTGTTCAAGTCGGATGATATCGGCATCCGAACTCTGAGGGTGCAGACGTTATCAAATTCCTTCAAAAGCTCCTCCACCTGTTCAGAAATAAAGATTGATAAGTCAAATAATCACAAACCAGAAAGATGAAGTGTAGTAAGGGAGCAAGTTCTTGAATGTATATACCATGGCCTTGGTTTTTGAATAAAAGGAACCAATGAAATTGGGCTTGTCTTCCTCCTTAAATCCAACACCAGAACCCTCTGGATGTCCGGCATCGTACTCAAAAATACAGCCAGTGGCAAAGTTCATCATCAAGAGTCCATGCTCCCGGCAAACATCTGCTAAGGTTAGGGTTCCAGCAACATTGGCACGAATCGTTTCGGTTTTGTGAGTTTCACACCAATCAACATTGGGTCTGCCTGTCACACCAGCAGCATTAAAAACATGGGTTGGTTTAACATTCTGAATATCTGCCAAAAGCGAGGCCCGATCCTCCAGACGCCCTTTGCCATATGCATAGGCAATGCCTTGTTTATCACATAGCTGTCCAAGAAGGCCTCCAATCCACCCTGTCCTACCATATATCAAAAATTTAAAGGATGACTGATAAGGAGAGCCCGGATTCCTGGGAGATGGGACTACCATTTTAGTATTACTGGGAGCGGAAGAAGCCGGGTTAGCCTCTTCAGACCCTTCAAAGTGTCTCTCAACTCCACCAGGCATCGTAAGCATTCTAGGATGTGGCAGCAAAGCCCCAGAGACATCACCCCACCAGTCAGGATTCTTAGTATACCATTCAATTGTCTTCTTCAGTCCTTCTTCCCACATAGTGCGTTCCGCCCACCCCAAGTTCTTGAGTTTCTGATCATCCAAGAAGTACCTCTGATCATTAAATGGTCTGTTGTCTACAAACTTGATACTTGCATCTGCGTCCTTTGAGAAAAGTTTGCATATATCTTTGGCAACATCTATAACCCTTCTCTCCTTCTTTGTCCCAATGTTATAAACATGACCAACCTCTCCTTTGTGAAGAATAACTTCAAAAGCCTCAGCAACATCCTCACAGTACAGATAACTCCTAACATTAGAACCATCCCCATGAATCGGAAGAGACTGGCCTCTCATGGCCAAAAGAATGAACTTTGGAATTAGCTTTTCAGGAAACTGATTGGGTCCGTAGACATTGTTTCCTCGAGTCGTGATCACAGGTAATCCATATGACCTGCCATAGGCCATTACGAGCATTTCAGCTCCAGCTTTTGTTGCAGAGTATGGATTTGTTGGGAGGAGTTGGGAAGCCTCATGGTTTCCCACAACAGCATCCTCATCTGTTTCACCATATACTTCATCCGTACTAACATGGATGAACCTCTTAATCTGGCCAGTGACCTTACAAGCTTCCAAAAGAACATGTGTGCCATAGATATTATTCTTAGTGAACTCGAAACTATTACCAAACGAGTTGTCAACATGAGTCTGGGCAGCAAAATGCATAATCGTGTCAATTGACTCAGTAATCAGGAGATAATTGACAAGGTCAGCACTGCCAATGTCCCCCTTCACAAATTTGAAGTTGGGAGAAGGTTTAGACGGAAGAAGATTCTTCAGATTTGAACAATAATCAAGCTTATCCAGTACAACAATTTTGTACCCAGGATAGTTTCTGACAAGTCTGTTAGCAACATGGGATGCAATAAACCCAGCAGCCCCAGTGATGAGGATGTTCTTAGGAGTATGTGTAGCCATGTCAAAGCAACTTCTGCAGAAGAAAAATACAGAACGAATAAGATCACTAACCAGAAAAAGAAGAGAACAAATTAACTAAATTCAAATTAACTCTCAAAGAAAGAATTAGATCAAAGTTAGATTCAAAACCTCCAGATCTAACTGCAGGGCACAGTAAAGTTTTAGCCGAAGGTAACTACCGTTCTATGAAAATCTAAACCAAAGTGCATTATTATTAAGCATCATTGCTGAAAAAAACTCAGATCATTACCAATAAAACTTCCATTTTCCATAATTTCATCCACATAAGTTCAACTACCACGAAATTCAACCAAGTATCAGATCAGACACATTTCATCGAACTCAAACCAACAGAGCAGCAGGATCCATGTATATTCTCAAACCCAGTCCAAATCATACTCCAAGATCGAAACCCAAATGGGATCCAGCGCACGCGGCACAGGTACAAATCACAAAACAGAAAAATGCTTACAAGGCAAGAAATCATACATAAACCTACAAAACCCACCAAACCCATCAACGATCCAACAGAAACAAAAAAGAAAACACGTAGATCCCAGTAAATCTTTCGAAAGGCATAACAAAAACTCAATTTCCCAGGCAATTACGAGTGCAATGTGTAAAGGAGGCAGCAACACAATGATGATTCAAGTTACAGAGTTCGATTACGGAAGCAATCGTGAAAGAGAATGAGAAAGAGAAGGGCTACCTACCTCTAGAGAGAGAGAGAGAGAGAGAGAGAGAGAGCAGAGGAGAGGAGAGAGAGATCTTCGGACGAGGAAATGGCAAAGAAATGCAGAGGACGAATTTCTGAGAGCAATGGCGAAAGCGTGGCGTTTTTTCGGGTTATAAATACGACTCAATGAACGCTGGAGACAGTTAAGGGGAGCCAATGAATTGCGAAATGACTAATTTGCCCTTACAATTTTCATTTATTCCCCGAACTACTTCCGCGCACCTCCGTCGCTTTGCCTTCCGTGGCCGGGCAACGGGCCCACCAGTGATTAAATTATAATCCCCTGCGGTCGGGCTCATGTTAAGTTTCAAAGTATTGGAATAAAAAATGAACATTTTAAATATACAAGCCAAAATGCTCCTAAGTTGACTACAATAATATTTAAATCTTAAATTAAAGAAGTCCGACTTTAATTTCAAGTTTTGAAATTTGCTGAATAGGGTTTAAAATAATACTTTTTCAGAACTAAATGGGAAGTCAACTCTTGACATATAATCATTTTGGTTTTTGAAATTTTAAAATGTCTATAATTTTTTATTTTTAAAAAATTCATTTTAGTCATTGTTATTATTCCGTTACTCAATATTTATCTAATGCTTATCTAAGCCTACTTAAGTATGGCTCTAACACATGTAGGTTAATTAAGTTTTCATTTTCTTCATTTTTTTTTTGCTAAATAAAGTTTTTTTTTTGTTGATTTTTAATACAACATATGAAGGTGAGAATTCGAACACATGATTTTTTGGTCGGAGATAAATGTCTTAACCAATTGAGTTATGTTTAGTTTGACTAATGTTAACAAGTTAATACATACTTTTATTTTTGGTTTTAGGACAGTTAATAATACATATGTATTAATCCTTTGTTAAAATTAAAATAAATATAAGGATCTAACTGAATATTTTTTTTAAAATTCAAGAACCCAATAGAATAAACAAAGTTTAAAAAGTAAAATTAGAAAGATTTGTAGAATTTATATATAGCCCAATGTGATCTAAACCAAATAAGAAAATTGTCTATAAATAAACAATGAATCACACTAGATTAAGTCATATAATATTAAAATTCAACCATGAACCCTAAAGTTAGTATCATGTGCCCAAATTTAGTAACAACTAACAAGTACAAAAACAACAAGAATAATATTATCAAAAAAGAAACAACAAGAACAATCATGTAACTAATCTTTTGAGTGTTGATTTTATCACATGTATCTAAGCTTGCAAGTTTTCAATTTTATAAAATTAAAAGAAAGAAGTTAATTTAGATAAGTTGTTAAACTTGAGTAAAGTCAAGGTAAAATACATACTTTTTCTCTCGTTTTTCATTTAATTTATTTTTTAAATTGCAACATTTCTTTAATCTTTAAATTATTATTTTTTTTAGTAGCCTTTAATCTTTAAGTTAATAATTTACTATCACGTGCAACATATTTGAATATTTTTATTTTATAATAAAGTATTTAATTGTATTCATTATAAAGGAACTTATAAGACAAAATTAGTATATACTATAAATTTATAACGAATTTAAGTTCTTTAATTATATATTACAAATTGATATTTTTTTGGTGTGTTATTCATAGTTACAAGTAAAATATTACAAATTAAACTAACAAACATGATGCATAATAACAACACCACCTTCCTTTTTTCTTTCTTCGTCAACTACCTCGTGCTTTGATATCACGTTAAATTGTCAATCAACCTAAAAATTTAAATTGATAACTCATGGTAAATTTAATATTTTATAAATATCTTAATAAGATACAATGATCTATAATTGCTAGGTCACAAAGTCTCGTAACTTTAATAAATCAATTAATAATAATATTGGGGTATTCCCATATTTTTATTTTGTAGACTTTTTTTAGTACAATAAATGGGATAAGGGGTTTCAAATTCATCGAGACAGGTACAAATTAGGGTTGAGCTAAGCTTATGTAGGTTATTTTGAATAAGTTGTTATACTTCATTTGGATTTATATATTATATTTATTTGTATATATTATATTTTATTTATCTAAAATCTAATTCCGAAAAATTTGTCAACAACCTAATTTTTTATTTTCTTAATTACTTTTGTTTGATTGCTTATTAAAAGTTCTAAGAAATTTTAGGTGAACTTTCCAACTTCAATAAACATAGATAATTTTTATATATTTTTTCACAAGATACTTTTATATTAATTTTCATTGTAAAATATTATTTTAATATTTTGATTCCATATTATAACTATAATGAAAGGGGCAATTTTTGTTGGGAAATGATATATTTTTTTTATTTCAATTATCCCTGCCTCCGTTATTATTTATAATTAATTGACAGTGTCGAGTCAACATAAATATAATTCAACAATAATTGATATTTATTTATTTCTTGAAATTAGATGAACCCCCGGTCCAACTTCATTTTAACTCAAATTTATCTTAATACTTTACCTACTCATTTCTCTGGTCCATTTATTATTCACTTTTTAACTATTTTCAAAGGAGCATATTATTGCAATTTTTAAAAGAACTAAACAACAAACAGAAGTTTTATGGAGTATTAAAGTTACACGATGATTTAACATAAGCTTGTAATTGATCAATGCATTTTCATTTTTTTAACATATATTTTAATTAAAAAAACAATACACTAGTTATCAAACTATAAAAAATAATAGTAAAAAAAAAAAAGAACATATCTATACTGGTGGTGCTCATTTGATAATTGATAGATATAAACACATTATTCATCAAAGTCAACTTGTATCATCCAATGCCGAGGATTTTTTAAAATTGAAGACGCTTTGAGAGTGAAAAAGTTATAGTATTAAAATAGTACACACTTTCCGTTCATTTTTTGACACATCATTAAATGATACTTTATTTCATTTCACAAATCTACACTCTTTTTAAATATTGTTTATATATGATTGATAATGAATGAAAGTAGTATAAAAATTGTAGTACTAGAAAATCTTCTCTCGGAGAGAAATGTATTGAGATAGTAACAGAAAGAATAAAGTTCTTGCTTATTTTATATAGTAGCAATATGATAAAAAGTTATCAAATTTATCCCATTTTAAAACATTTGAAATTATAATATTACTTATAATTAAATAAAATAATATTTAAATTCTTTAAAGATGAAATGAGAAAACTTTTTTATTCAAATAGTTCATGAGCATAGTTTAACGGTTACTTTGTTTGTATTAAATAAACGACCACTTTGTTGTAAAAAAGTTTTTATTGAATATTGATAATTAATTAATTGTAGCCATAGTTCCCATTTGAATTATGTTGGTTGTTTTTAAGTGAATTGTGTTGGTTGTTTTTAAGTGAATCAAATAGATTAAGAAAATATTATTTGACAGATTTATTTTTAAAAACTGAAAATTATTTTCAACTTGTTAGATTTTTAAATTTGAAACTTAAAAATGTAGAAATACATTAAAAAAAAAGATAAAAATTTGGACAAAATATACTATATTTCAAGTTATAAACTCATTTATTTTTTTAAAATTAAAACAGGTAAAATATAATTTATTGTAAATTATATAATATCTTACCATAATAATTATACAAAATTTATAGTCTATATTTTAATAAATTAATTAATAATATTTTAGATTCAACTTTATATATTTTACCATAATAATTATAAAAATTTTATAGTCTATATTTTAATAAATTAATTAATAATATTTTAGATTCAACCTCTTAACTTTGCCAGCCAATATATTATTAAACATAATAATTTTTTTCAATTGAGATTTAATTTCTAAATCTGCGACCAAACAGTTAACACAACATTGAATCTTTTATTTTTATTTTCATATCACAACCAACTGCACTAAACATTTTTTGAAATTCTAGAATTTATTAAACATAAATTTAAGCTCGTAATTCAACCTTTAAATCACCGTCCGATCACGTTAGCAAAACTCTCGTTGTACGTTTATAATATTGTAAGCATTGAGAAAGTTCTGATTTTTAAATCTTAAATCAGGGAATTTTTTAACCTCTAAACAAGAAGAAATCCTCAAAGAAAGCAAAAAAAAAAAAAAAAGAAAAAAAGAAAAAATTACTTTATACGATTACTAAACCGTAGCACAATCGTGATACACGTGAACTTTCCTTTTTTTTCTTTTTTTTTTACTTTTATAAAATTTTAACCAGTTTAATTGAATTATCCAAATAAGATTAGTATATTATTTAATTCTATACTTATTGTTAGGTATTAAATAGATATAAAAGGTTAAATTACAAGTTTAGTTTTTTAACTTTATATTTAATAGGTCTCTAACTTTCAATTTTATAGATTTTTTAGAGGTAAGTGTGTTTAATAGATTCTTAAACTATTAAATATATTTTAAAATTTGCAAAATGAAATTGAAAATTCAAAGTTCTAATAAACACAAAATTTAAATTTGTATCCCATAAGTGGGTAAGTTCTAAACAATGTTGAAAAATTAAGGATATATTAGACATAAAATTAGATGAGTGGAGAGATATATATTAGAGATAAAATTAAAAGTTTAGCAATTTATTAGATATTTTTTAAAATTTATGACCAAATTAACACAACTTTAAAAGTTTATGAACTAAACCCATTTAACCGGATGAAATTATCTCATTTGTTAAAGTAGTCATGTAATGATAAATTGAATGCTCATATCATTATATAAATGATTTGATTTTTCAATTTTTAAATAATTAATGTATATATTATCACATTTTTTAAAATAAAAATAAATTGAACTTTTAATTTAGTTACACTATGACCAAACATATTTGAAACTGAAAAAAAAAGTGGGCTTTTTAAACAAAAATTATGAATGTATTTTTTCAAAACTCATTCCTTGGAAATAATTTCATTATTTTCTTTAACTAGTAAAATACATTTTTTAATAGCTAAGAAGTACCCACCATAATGGATCAGGTCGTGAATTCGAACCCTCAATTCCACATGTTTGTATTAAAAAAATAATTAATAAGAATAATATTTTACGGAAATTTGTTGGATCATCAACCATAATATTTAAACTTCATGGACTAAATATGTGACTTTTTAAATCTCAATAGCTAAATTAACTAAATCTCAATCTCAATGACTAAAAATGATGGTTTTCAAAATTCAAAGCGTTAGAAACTAAGTCCAAACTTGAAAGTGTATTTTTTCTCCCAATTTTTAAATAAACGTTACCAAAAAATAAAAAAGCTTTCTTTGATTTTATTTCAAATTTAAGAACACTGAAAGTGCAATATAACATGTTTCTTTCATTATTTAGTTCATGAATTTAACATTCAGGCCTAATATATCTATGGATACCACAAAAATAATATATAGGAATCATTTTTCAAAATTTACCTTGACTTTTTACCTTTTATTTTATGTGGTAAGTTTGTCACAGTGGGACTGGAAGTTGAAGGATTCATTACTGGTGTAGCTGTAATTTTGTGCACTTATAAAAACAGTAGGATTTTTTTACTTCACCCTCGTATCCAAATCCATTTTGTTGTTTGAAGATGAAGATTTTCTTAGTCCATAATAATCTGGGTAGTTTTTAAAAAAATCTTAACAATAATTCAATTTATTTCAACTTGTATTTTATTTTATGTATTGGATAAATAACATTTTCTCTTATGAATGTAATCAAGGTTTTAAATGTAGATGTCTATGAAAATGTCGAGGTTTCAATTTCAAACAGATAAAAATTTTCATGTTTCTAAATAAGTTAAAAAATAATTAATATTAATATTAAGTATATATGGGTGAGATTTTGTTGATATTTTTCATATTTTGTCGATTTTTTTATAAAATATTGATTTACCCCTCACGTCAATGTCAAACTCATGAAAATATGGACATATCGATGGAAATGTCGACGTGTCGACGGATATTTAGAACCATGAGTGCAATATGGATTTCTCAATATATATAGATATTTTCAATACATAGAGAGAGGTTTTTTATTTATAGAAGTTAAGAAATAATTAAGTAGGAATAATTAAGAATCTCCCATTTTCAATGTTGGGTTGGTAAGATTATTGCAAAGAAAGTCTCATGTTGGGTTAAGGAAGTAAATGATTATATAAGATATGTGGACAATTATCTCTATGAGACTTTTTGAGTGGAACCAAAAGCAAAGCCTTCATTCAGGTCCAAGAGTGTGACTTGAGGAATCCGATCTCAGGCTCGACAATTAAAACTGACTGTCGGAGCGGTTCCAACGACCTTATCCCCGCTTTTAAAAGGGACACTCCACCCCACTTCCTTTTGCAAGTCCCATTGACTTGAAGGTGATACTTCGACAGCTCTTCCCGATTAGTCCATGAGCGACCTACGATAGCTCGGAGAAATTCTACATCAACAAAGAAGATAACAATATAAACTTATGTCACATCAATCTTTTGAGGAAATAAAAAGAATGTTCAATTTTCTATTAGCTAGACTAATAAAAAACGACAGGAACGAACTACGTAACTCTCAAAACTTCAAAGATAAATATTAAGTTGGACTGGGGAGAAAAGTGAAATTTGAAGTCAAATATTAGATACCAAAACTAAATTTTTCTTTAGTAACAGTTCACTTGCAAAATCACACAACTCTTTTTTTTAATAATAAGTCGTGCGTTGTCTATTGTAACGTCTTGATTAAAAAAAAATAACAATAAATTCTATTTTAAAAATAACAAAGAAAAAATATAAATTAAATATAAATTTATTATATTTTATAATAAAATCATACCAACAACTGGTATTAGAAGAAAAAATATTAATAATAGAAATGAAAAATAATGAATTAAAAAAGTTATGAATAAGGGTAGTAAAGTAATGGGGCAAGGAAGGAGAATGTAGGAGAGGAATTGGATTTGCCAAAAGGGAATGGGATCCTTGATTTCATTCCCACGACCGGGAATGGAAAAATTCATTCCAAATGAAGACCAAATGTGTATATAAATTAGACCCCTATTATTTTCTAAATTGCGACCTTAATTTGTCTCATCCAGATAGACACCAAATTAACGGGCCAAACTGCAGACTTCAGTGGGCCAAAAAGTTTGGGCTACAAATTGGAGGGGTGCGCCAGGCCTGGGCTGTAGTGTAAGGCCCAGGCGACGCTCGAAGGCCCCAGCAGCAAGCTACTGTGGTGGGCCGTCCCCCTAGAAAAATAAATTTAATATCATGTGGGCCGATGGCCCACGTATCAGATATTAAACTGATAAGAACAGATACTACACTTGATCTTAGCC